GCCCAGAGGCCTACATTATGATGCCACTAGTACTAAGATGTGTAATGATATCACCAGCGGGATCCTGCTCTCCTGTTTTTAAACATTTGGAGGTTTTACGCCAAATGGCCAGCCCTGCAAATCAGAACTCCTGTTTTACCTGAAAATCCCGAGCCCTTTCGGGGACAGGCAATGTGAATCTGGGTCGAGTAACAACCGTAACACAATTGAAGAAAAATAATGGAATCAAAATCACGAGGCGAGATGCTGTGGTGGAGAAATATTCTATTGGAAACAAAGTAATACTAATATATGAAAAGGTAATGCAGGAAATCGTAAAAATCTGTTGCAAATTACAGTTCAAAACATTACAGCAAACTCATCACGAAAACTACATTTCTGAGCTGAATTTCTGTGAGTATTTTTGCACAATACAAGAACCGGATGAATGCACATCTGGCTCTGCTGCTTGCTACAGTTAGTCTTGCAGCAGTTGGGCACATTATTATTATTATTATTATTATTATTATTATTATTATTATTATTATTATTATTATAGTGTTCACGAAACAGTAAGAGGCTTGCTGCTCTGGCTTTGTGTGCGGGAACTGATCCATTAATGACTAAAACAGATAGCAATTAAGCAAGAAATAGTTTTCAATTGCCATTTTGAAACTAAATAGTAAAATAATATCCATTCCATTATTGGAGTCACTGATGTGAACTTTTCCAGAAAATAAAACTTTTATTTTAAACGGACTATCTTCAATTTCTTGTCATGGAACAGTTCCAATCACTATACTTAGATACTTCGACTCACTGATAATAATAGTAAGAAATCAGTAAAATCTAATTTAGCATTTGTGCTTTAAAACCTGCAGTTAACATTTATTTCCAACTTAATTGCAACTCAGTTAAATCAATATATATAATTTCCTTGGCTTTTTCTTCTTGTAGATACCCAGGAGTGAGTCCAAATACAGTTTGGGGGTGTAACATACATTTTATACATTCATTCTACATAAAATACCTTTAATAAATGATGAAAGTAAGAATAATTTCAATGAAATTTTAATTATGTTGGATTTAAAAAAAAGTGAAACAGAATAATAATGCACTTAAAGCAATATACACAAAAGCAAATGATGCCCTTGTATAAATTATACATTAGATGGGAAGTGTGTAGGATTGCTGTGTTTGGGGACAGCCAATTTAAAAAGAAATTAAAGTATTCTGTAGCCAATCAAAAATTAATGATCACTGTCAAATATCTGAATAACAAATTTTGAATTTGCTGATATGTGGATGGCACTAATCTGAATTTTCACTTGCATTTTGATTGTGTAAATGGTACAACTTTGAGCAGAAGCTGCTGCAACTTTAAAAATAAGTAAAAATGGGCCTTGCTCCCTTTAAAAGCTCAGTTAAGAGCACTGGCCTCACAAGCGAGAGATCTGGGTTCGATTCCCGGTAGGTCGAAACCTTGGGCAAGTTTCCTTACTCCACACGCCTGATAATCCCTCAAGAAAAAAAACAGTAATAAATTGGTCACTTCAATTCACGACTGTTTGTGGGACACTGCTGTGCGCAATTGGCTGCTGCATTTCGCCCATAAATATGCAGTCAATTCACTTTACAGTTATTTGCCCACAAATATAGAGTCAATTCGCTTTATAGTATATTCTGTAAAGCGCTTTGAGACGTCTAGAAGACGTGAAAAGCGCTATATCAAATGCAAGGATTATTATTATCATTATTATTAAAAGGTGGTGTGCAAAAGGTTATACCACCCACTGAGAGAAAATTACCAATTAAGTTTCCATTTGTCAAACATACCACCCTCTAATGCTGTAAGATACAATCACTGCACATACAGCTGTGGGAACTGGTACTTATGGTTGAATTGCAGAGATCAGGGAATGCATTGCACAACATTACATCAGCATAGCTATATCAATTAATAGGCTTGACACCATTGCAAGTTGGCAGCTGTAGACATAAACTTAGTTGTTTGATATCAATTACTATAATTGTCAGCAGCTTTCAATAGGGTCTTCAAACAATTCAATGTGGACACCACAACTGCGAATCATATAGGTAGCCTCTCATCAGCTAGGGAGGTGAGTAACACATATTTGTATGCACACAGCATATACTTAATTAGATTATTAACAAGTCTCTTTTGAGGCGGCCCAGTGAAAGGTAAAACACTCTTTTTAACACTCCATCTTTTGGTTTGGAGATTTCCATGCTCTGGAATATCTAGCACTGTCTTGTCAGCACTGCAGTTTAAACAGTGTCACATTAATTAAGCATTTTAATTTAAATACTATGTGTAACTGTCACAATGGTGCAACTGTGAGGCACTAATATCTATCCACGGAGAAATACAAAGACAGCTGTGTGACTGAGAGATTTGGCTCGAATCCAGGAGACAAACATATCAATGTGTGTGCAATATTCATTTCACTTTTTACACACCAATCACTTAATAGTTATTATCTATAAACACCACAGGTTGACAGATTGATGTTCTTTAATAACAAAAGTTAGTGTATAAGCAGCTAATAATGGTTATAACATCACCCAAGCTAGGCAGAATCTGATAAGTCGTCTTATCAGTTTGTTACGAATTCAAAAGCAACCCTGTCTCTCATTCTTTTTCCACTCCTCAGGCATGTTTTCACTTTATTATTGTCTTCACATGATACTGATAATTGAAAATCATGTTTTCTGTTCAAAATCAATCCTCTTGTATGACCTCAAAATAATTACATTTCTTACCTCCCCAAGTTTTCCTATCCACCTGCAAAAAATTCCTTTTTTTAAAACAAACCTACACCATGTAAAACAACTTTGGTACTTGACATAGTTTTTACAGTATAAATAAATGAATATCTCACATAGAATTTCTGACTTCATCCTTAAGATGATGAATAAACTTTTGGTTTAGTTTTAAATAGGTCACTATTGCACTTGTTTTTAATACATATTGAATATTCCATAATCCATCCTGTATATTTATTGTTTCAATTTTTTTAGTTCGAAGTTATACTATTCACGATAGCACATTTTTACCCCGCCGAGGGCTGGATTAAACAGGGAGCTAGATATTATCATGGGTTTAAGTTGTCCTGGCTTGATTCGGCATATAAACTACATACAGATTATCTGGACCAATGAAGCCAAACAATCTGAGATGCTGACTACAGCAGTATCATGCTATTTAGGTTTACTTACAGTGTGAATAGGGTGTGGACTAATAAGGACAGTAGGCCACCTGACTCACTTTATGAAGCATCCTGTGTGCTAAAAAAAACCTTTCCAGGTTATCAGGTACTTCACATAACTTCCGGCGCGTTATGTTCATGCAGCACACAGGAAGTGACGTCAGCCGTAACTCTGCAAGTCAGATATTTTTAGCGCAGGATCCGGCCTGTGTACAAGTACAAGAGTAGCCAATGCAGAAGCATTAACCAGTTATTGAGTCACACCTGAGATTTACTGTGTAAGATTGTAATATTCCAAAACAAATGACTGGCAAGAGATGTGCTTCTCACTGCGAAACCATCTTAATGACCTTCCTTCCACATTCTTTAAGCTTCTTGGTCAAGAACTGTCAAACTCTGTCAATAAAGGTTGCTGAGTTTGAATGTCATTCCACAGTGGGTTTCAATCTTGGGGCACCTGATTCAGTGTTCAAAGCTTTTTGGCTCTAGCTATATTTACAAAATCATGCAAATCTAAAGAAGCTACTGATTTTCGAACATTGGTTCTTCAGTGATTTAAGCACAGAACGTAGAAATGTTAAAAATGAAACAATAGCTCATTGTACACTTAAAGGATAATCTGTGGAATGTACTTTCAATGTGGAATAATTTTCCTTTTCAGGTCTCACCGACGCAGGTTTTGTAAAACAAAATCCTCCCCAATGAGGACTCACATTTCAAGTTGGGTAGAGGCCAGACCCACTCGGCTGATATCAGCCACAGACTCAGTCACGAAGTAACAGCGAGGATTAGTGTCTCTTTAGTTTTTGGATGCCACTTTGGAGCTGTTAATTGACTTTTCTGAATCAACAGAAGAGCATGCGGTTACCCTACCAACCAGCTCCAATAGTGACATACATGTCCTGCAATACAGGGACTATATTAACTGGAATATTACCTTTGCCATACTTCCCATCCACACAACCACACCAGGCAATTAGTATATTATCTTCAGAACCATATGCATGATAAGTTGTAAATCTATCACCTTGATCATTCGGTTGAGAAATTGAATCAAAGGTTCTACCTGCCTTTCAGATGGACAACAAGATCTCATGATAAAAGAGAAGGGAGTTTCTCCCAATGTCCTGGCCAACAATTCCCTAGATAAAATTGGTCATTCACTTGATGGTTGTTTGTGGGACATGACTGCAAATTAACTGCAACGATTGCAGAAAAATATACAGTAACAACATTTCACAGTAAACTCTTGTGAAGCTCTGAGACGTCTCGATGATGTGATAAGGTGTTATGTTAAATGCAAGTATTATTATTATTATGTTATTGCAGTTTAGATCACTCTGTAGAAGTAGTTTCTAAGTGGTTTTCAGTGATGGGTCAACCAGACCAATAATACTGCCCATTACACTTGATTGGATATTACTTAGTATATTTGAACTTCCCAAAATAACCACTTTCTGGAAGAGGTGGACATTTTCTGCATTGGGTATCTTGTCAAGCCGTTTCTGAATTGTATTATTAACAGTCGCTGTTGCACCAATGATTATAGGAACGATGCTTGTTTGGCACAGACACATGTGTCTGCATTCAATTTGTAAATCAACATACTTCCTGATCTTCTCTAGTTCCTTATTTCACTGGGATTATTATAATTATTATTATTAATAATAATAATATAAGCCCCACAATTGTGCTTTAAATCCTCTCATTTGGTAGAGTTCTTTGAAAAAAAATTCTAATTCCCTTTATATTGTTACACGAGTGACCCATTTCTTTTTTTTCTTCTTCCAGGTGTGTATTGTACAAAAGAGGGACACAGAGAAGATGTATGCTATGAAGTACATGAATAAACAACAATGCATCGAAAGAGATGAGGTCCGAAACGTATTTAGGGAACTGGAGATCCTGCAAGAAATTGAATATGTTTTCTTAGTAAACCTCTGGTGACTATCTCAAGTTTTTGATTCTATTAAAGTACTGTCATTTTTGTTCAATGTTATTGCCTTAAATTTTTCTAAATTAGAACTGATCCAAAAATATGCTAACTTATTTTTCTATCATACTGGGAATCTATGAACAAACAACGAGCAACAGTAGGTCAAGCAACACAAACTAAATGCAGTCTACCAAACAGCAATCTTGATGCAAATTGCTGAAATTGCAGTCAGCACTAATCATAACAGGCAGAAATATAGTCCAGCTCCGAGATTTGTAGCCAATTTGGGTTGAATTGTTTTATTTAACAGAACTTTGAAAAAATATAAAAATAATAACAATCATAATAATAATCATAATAATAAAAAAAGTCTCAAATCTGGCATAATTGGAAACAAATATAGAAATTTGAAACTAGAAATCCACAGGTCAACAGAACTCTGAGAGATGAAGTCGAATTGATGTTTCAGGCCAGAGCCAATTATGAAGTTTTGTATTGGAAATCGTTTTTCCGATGTTTTGGATGTTATTTGACCAGCTGTGGATTTTGAAACATCTTTTTTTAAAAAAAAATTCCGGCATCTGCATTTTTCATTTATTCCGATCTTAAATTAGATCAGCAACATTTCTGTGGGTCTACTTGGTCCTATGCCCAACCCATACTGTCAGCCCGTGGATGATTTGCAGCGTGCTTTTCTGTTGAGCTAGTTTCTGTATTAGTAGATGAACATTTCCCTCTTTTTCTCCCCCCCCCCCCAACCTGTTGGGATTACAGGCATCAATTACCACTTTAAAATGTATTATTTTTTAAGAGTTTATTGACCTTGGTGATGGCTTTGGTAAATCTCTAACTGTTGCCTAGCAGCTTGAGTAGTTGTTGTCTTACTTCATAACTAGAAGGTCATAAGCCTGAGGGCGCTCTGTTCCGTACTCACTTGTCTTGGCTGGGTGAGTTTCGTCCATTTGCTTGGCGAGGCATAGTACATAATCAGTAGTTTATTATTGTCTTCTGACAGTTAGAAACAAGGAATGGAAAAGTCCACAGCCTGATTCCTAAAGTTAACTAGTTTAAGTCGCAGATTACTATCAATTCTGACTGAATTATTCGGGTTTTATTGGTACCTTAAATGATTAGCTATTGTAAGGAAGAGCCAAAGATATCTGAAATTTATGAATCAGGAATGTTTGGTGTCGTTTCTGCCGACCAGATAAAATGTTGAACTCTCCCTTATGCCTAGTTTGTCTCCCTAAGCTTCTTTGTTGGGAAATTGTTGTGCTCTCCCCCTCCCACTTTCCCCCTGTTATTTGCAAAAAGATGTATGAAGACTTTCAGCAAAACCAAGCTACCATTGTTTTCTATAAATATCAACTTATTTGGAGCATTTTGACATACATTATTAAAGAAACACACAGTATAGCAAAACAAGTATAAGAATAGACTCCTCTATTGGTTGCACAAATGTGATGTCTCCTTGTTCAAGATAAAATTAAAAGTAAATTTGCATTTAAATGGATTATTGCATAGATGGGAGGACATGTTTGGCTTAATGAATTTTGAAAACTAAATGTTTTCCAGTGATGTGTTCCATTCCACTGTGATAGTTTGTCGTTGTTTAATACAGTACTAGGTATGGTTCCACAAAACTTTTGCATCTAACAGTCAATTTTAATGCAATAATAAAATACTAAAATAAATTATCTTGATGTTTAGTTTTATAAACCTTAGAAATGTGAAGCTGTTTTTTTTCTTGACAGTGCTATATTTAGATTGTGACTGCATTCTGTTGATCATTTGTGACATTTAAGTTGAAACATTTATCAATAGAAATGGGAAGCAGAGATGCATTTAGAAATCAATCCATTTGGAATTATGGTTTGGATGCTGAGGGAGAGTACCGCAACATGTGTAATAATAATATAATAATCCTTGCATTTGATATAGCGCTTTTCATGTCTTCTCGACATCTCAAGGCGCTTCACAGAATAGGCTGTAAAGTGAATTGACCATATATTTGTGGGCGAAATATACTCTGTGTACTGTCTATTTGGTGACATGAAGTTGAAATGTGTGTCCTGGACAGTTAATTGAACAGAAACTAAAATGTTCTTGAAATTATTGAAAATCAAATGTGCCTTTTATAGAACAGAATTGTTGAGTCTAGATAATATCTGATCCAAGTATATAATTCTGGGCTTTATAATGAGGGGTCTGGAGTATAAAAGCTAGGAAGTGCTGCTGCAGTCAGCAGTACACTTAAAGTGGCTGCCATTAAGATAGGAAGTTTAAGGTGGTCTGAATGAGACAGACAATTGATATTCATGGTTATGTTTCAGAAAGAAAGAGGATTTGATAGAAATGCTAATGTAAAACCAAACTATTACGGAATGAGTGGCTGCTCTGAATTACAAATGAAGTTTGAATTATCCATTTCTTGGTGTGTTTAGCATACACTAAATAGAAAATAATTCTGATTTTAAATGGAAGAGGAATGAACTGAAATGTAAACTATATCAGTGAAAGCTGATCTGAATACCTACACATTAGGGAACTGCATATGATTAACAGATGACCCACAATATTAATTAATAACAGGTATTCTTGGATAAAACCTCCGTGCTAAGAGTTCTGCTCTCCTTCTGTCAAGAAGGAGATTAAGTAGATAATGGAAGGTTGGTTACAGCAGGTTCATATCTGACTATTTTAATTAAGTCTAATAAATCGTTGCTACTCTTTTTAGTTCATGACAGTCTAGATTCTAAAAACTGTAAGTACAATCAACAATACTGTAGTTCTAGCATACAGTCGATGGTAGTATCTGTATTCAGCCTGTGTAATACAATGAAATAAAAAAGAAATCTCAAATGTATATAGGTGAGTTGGACCTCATTTTGATACCTTTCTAGCCACGCTAAAACTGTAGATGTAGAACTTCAGTCATATTCTATGATGTAGAATAATTGGAGCATGACTTTATTGGAAGGTTTACTGATTGGGATAACATGATCAGTTCAGAACCATCCATCTTGCAATAGTTGTCTCTCCAAAGCATAATCAGCATTTAAAGTTATTCCAGGTCAAGCAAATATATTTGCTGCAGGCTATAACAACTTACTTGAGTTTCTTATATTAGTGACTTACCTTATAAATGCTTTCCACATCTAATTTTAGTACTGAAAACAGTATGAGAATTAATCCTGCTACTTGAAGTCTATATTCCTTAGGGAAGCTATTAAAGCTTTTCTATGTAGCTGTGTGTATGTGCCTGCATAATTTATAACTTGTCCTTGTGTACTAATGAATGTTTTCTGAAATGAAATACTTTATCGCTATCCATTTTTTATTGTAAGTACAGATCCATGTAATGCACAGTCACTGTGAGAACAGGAACTGTAAAATTCGCTGTAGTAAAAACTGGAAACAGGTAACTAAACTTCATAGATTGCTCTGCCTACACATGCTAGCAAGTGGGCGTTAAATATCCTTTGAAATTATTCGAAAAAGAGAAGGGAGTTTCTCCTGGTCAATGGCCAATGATATCCTAAATTAAGTGATCATTTTGTTTTTTGCTGTTTTGGGGACCTTGCTGGTGCACATTGCTGCTACAATTGCCTATGAAAACAGTCACTTCACTTCACAGAAATTACCTGCATAGTCCTTTAAACATTTTGACATAATAAAAGTACAAGTTCTTTAAATTCTCACAACATTATACATTGGTTTGCACTTATGAGAGGCACAGGTTCAATCCGCTTGCAAATCACTCCTTCAATTTACCATCATTTTAGGGGCAATTTTTGTTTTGTACAAAATATACAGTCAATTCATTTTACAGTATATTCTGTGAAGCGCTGAGATGTCTCAAAGACATGATACGGTGCTATATCAAATGCAATGATTATTAATATTATATTAGGAAGTTTAGGAAGCAAAGAACAAAATAAACCAATTTCAGAAACTGTTCTTGCCACACCCAGATATTTTAGATGCCTAACCTCTAATCCTTCCTGATATAAAGGTAAGTTTACGTCCACTTCAGCGAGTGCTACAGCAATATAAAATGTTCTCCACTGGCCAAAGGAGACTGGCACAATATCTGGATCTGAACATGAACTGCATGATTATTATTTAAGTATCACATATTTTAACCTTTACTAAAAGCATTTCCCCCATGAAGAAGAAGATAATGTTGGTTTTCACTAAGACTGGGGAAACTGAGAATGCTTCGCAGATTATACTGTTAAGTGAATTGACTATATATTTTGTAGGTGAAACGTGGCAGCCAATTGTGCACAGCAGTGTCCCACAAGCAGTCGTGGATTGAAGTGACCATTTTATTATTATTATTATTGTTTATTATTATATCAGAATTTATTTCAATATAGAACATATATATCTATAGGACATCATACCCAGCCTCATGGACTTTGTCTGGTTTGAATCACCCTAGTAAATTCTCTACATCGTCTTTCTATGTTCATCTTCTGCTCCAAGAGCTATTTAAGTGGGATGTGCTTTTTTGAACACTTCTGAAATACTGTGAAGTTCATAAGACCATTTGAACTTGGTCAGTAAACTGCTGGCAATTAAGGTTCAAGTTTGTCCCTTGCAATTACATATGACGTTTTGCACTGTTCTCTGGTAAACGTATACTTAAACTCTCTGTTGGTAAGCATCAAGTGCTTTAAACTTTATATCTTTTGGGAGGTCATGTTGAAGCTCAGAGAGAGGTAGAGACAGTATAGCAAAAGGTCTTTTTTTTTGCTTAAATCAAACTTTTGTTTTTTTCGTTTATGTCAATTGTTTTGTCCTCTAAAGTAGTAAGTCATCTCATTATAGAATAATATAATGGTACAGCTCCGAAATAATCTGTCCTGGTGTTTTCTCCACATGATTCATCGAATCTGCTTGCTCCCTACACACTTTAATATACCTCTGTTTTAAGCATCTATCTGTTCCACATTCTAACCACCTTCTGTGTAAAGATGTTTCTCTGAATCATCTGCAACTCCTAACTCAGGATCATTTTACGTCCAGCTGTCTTGTAAACAAAGAAAGGTTGTAATAACCTTTGTGATAATCAACAGAAACCATTGCTGGGTACAGTTGTGTTCATGCTCCAGGTACAATTCCAGACACTTCGTTTTGCAGTAAAAAATAAGAATTTAATACAATGTTTAATCGTTCTTTTGTATCTATTCCTTAGGTACTCTTTTCAGGATGAGGAAGATATGTTCATGGTGGTGGATCTTCTTTTAGGTGGAGATCTTCGATATCATCTTCAACAAAATGTGCAGTTTACAGAGGATGCAGTAAAGCTTTACATCTGTGAGATGGCACTGGCACTCGACTACTTACAGAATCAGCATATTATCCACAGGTATTCAGAGACAAAATTGATTTATATCCCATTATTCTCCCTGCCTATAACACAAACTTGAAATCCTTATATATTACTAGATCATCCGATATGCTTTTAAGAAAAAAAATGACAGTGAGATAGTAATTATAATCATTACCATTTACTGGCTCTTGCAAGTTTTTCTTCTCTCAAACAAAAGACTTCTGTATATAGATGTGACCCAAATCTGTCTTAGGCGCTATGAATCTCATATAGTTTTCTGCCTGCTTCTGTGAAATAGATTAAAAAATATACATAACGGTGTGACTGTTTAAGAGTAAAGTTTATATAAATCACACAATATTTTTTTGAATACTCAATAGAATATGGAGACTTATATCAGTTCAACATTCAACAACAACAACAACAAAGACTTGCCCTTATATAATGCCCCACCAGGCAGGGTAGTGGCTTAGAGTGCTTTAAGTTTTTTTGTGGTATACAAATGCCACCATGTATGTTATTTATATTGCAAGGATTCAGCGTGATAGTTTGTGTTTGAACAATGTAGGTTGTAGGTTAAAATTACATACTGGAGGTTTGCAAGATTAGATATAATTACATAGAATATTACAACACAAAAGTAGGCCATCAGGCCCAATTAGTGTGCACCAGTGGTTATTCTCCACATATGCCTTCATTCCTCCTCTTCTATCTCTTCATTTATTCCCTTTATGAAACTTGCACACATCAGTTTTCCAGTTAAATACATTGATATTTACAGCTTCAACCACATCTTCAAACGGTGATTTCCATATTCTATGCAGAGTCGATCCTCCTAAACTTCTTTTTAAAACCGTTATTGGCAATTTTACATTGGACTCGTCAACAAGTAGAAGTTTGTGGGACACTGCTGTGAGCAATTGGCTATCTGTACTCTCCTGTCATCTCTTGAATGTAGTCTATACTTCCTCGGATGTTGGAGATGTACATCTCTTTTGATTCTTATACAGTTTCCCACAGTTGAATGGAGACATCAAAGTAACCTCTGCTCAAGCTATTGCTAGTCTAGATTTGTCTGAAAAATGTTGCCTTGCTGAAATACTTGCATTTAGGTGTTTTTTGATTGAGAAACTCTTCGCTTCGGGCATTCTGACAAAGATCAAACCCACATCCTACTACCACTTCCACTTTAATGTACCTTGAACATATCAACAACAACAACAAGATTCCATTTATAGAGCGCCTTTCATGTCGGGATATCCTTTTAACATGTTGTCTTTAACATTAACATCATCTAAACCCAGAACATTTAAGATGGGACTCAGAAGACTTGTGTAAAATTGTGCTGAATCAGTTGATCATTTTATCACTGCTAACATATTTATTGAAGTGCTTCATTGAACAGATTGAAAAAAGTGAATTCAATGAATGCAAATAGGGCTTCTGTGGATGCTTCTAGGAAATGGCATATCTGAATTAATGAGTAAGGCAAAGAAGACAATACAGACCATTAGGGAGCATACTCTTCAGTCATGGATTTACCTTTACTTCTCTTCTAGGGATATCAAGCCTGACAACATTCTTCTTGATGAGCAAGGTTAGAAAACAGATGTTAATTTACATAAAATTGCTACGCATTCAGTTTCCTGACAGATTGAATTTATCTCTATTAAGTTTTGCATCTGTCAGTGAAAATTATAAAAGGCCTCAATTTAATTTTGTTTTCTGGCATTTCAGCTGTTGCTTTCTGTTCACATATACTTGCCTATTGCTTTTAGGACATGCACATCTGACAGATTTCAACATAGCAACAATTATTAAAGATGGAGAAAGAGCAACTGCTTTAGCAGGAACTAAACCATATATGGGTAAGAACTAGGAAATGACAAGTCTTCTGCCACTGCAGATTACTCTCTTCACTCAATTGCACTGTGTGTTGGTATTTTACAAGTATTTCCACTCTTTCACTTCTCCTTATTGTTGCACATCATATTGCCCCAAAACACTCAGTCAATTCACTTTACACTCTATCCGTGAAGCGCTTTGAGACGACTCGAAGACGTGATAAGACCTTATATCAAATGCAAGCATTATTATTGTTATCATTTTCCTGGAGAGAGGAGGAGGCAGGTATAACCTGGTCCCTGGGCCAAGTCACTGTAACTATTTTGGAATATTAACTTGTTGTCCCATCTGTCCTGCATTACGGGAAAGCTAACATTTGCCAGTTACAGCAGCATATGTAATGAATACCCCAAAAATGAGATAATCTTCAATCTAAAATTCATTTGCATTTTTAGAACAAACCATATTGATGTGAAATCTGATGCAGGTTTTATGATCTGAAAATCAGGGAGCACATATGATGTTCCAATACAACAGGAACAATTTCTCACAAAACCCTTAAAAATCAATCACTTTGTATTTTCCTTATTAAGTGAATAAATATTTGACCAAATTACACATATTTACCTTGCATAAATTCGAGTTTATTTAGCACTATTCTATAAAATATACTATATAACATCTGCTATTTTAGAATATAGCAAATTTGAAGTAATATGGTGAGCCATTTCAGGTTTTCAAAATCAAATCAATTTAGAACAGAATCATATTTACTTATGATGTTATCTTTCTACAGTTAATATTCTGTTATTGCCATTTCATAATATTTTCTTTTCAGTTTTTGGTTTGGATTTGAAATAATCAGAAATAATAATAATAATCTAGTATCTAAACACTTCAGAGGATTTACCGAGTCGTGACTGTGTAGTATTGATGTATTGATTACTATTTAATTCATTGTTTTATTATCTGCTTGAAGCTCCAGAGATTTTTCACTCGTTTGTCAATGGAGGGACTGGTTACTCATTTGAGGTAGACTGGTGGTCACTCGGAGTCACAGCTTATGAACTTCTTCGAGGATGGGTACTGCATTCTATCATCACCTTTTATCACTGCATTTTTGTGTTCTGGAACTCCATCTCACAGTCCCTCCGTCTCGCCCCCTCCCTTGCCTCCTTCCAGACCTGTCTCAAGACCCTCCTCTCCGATCGTGCTTTTGGTCACCCTCCTACTCCTAACCTCCCCACCCTCCACCCCTCCTGATCCCAACCACCAGCTCGGGTGTGGATCCCTGACTGTCCAGCGCCTTGGGACGTCTTCCTGATGAGAAAGGCGCTACACAAATGTAATTTGTTGTTGTTGTGTTGTTATTAACCTGCCTGTTTAGCTGTTTGACAATTATTTCTTTTTTTTCTAGAGACCATATGATATCCATTCTAATGTGACAGTTGAGTCCCTCATTCAGTTATTTAGCACAGTGAGTGTGCAGTATACCTCTTCCTGGACAAAGGAAGTTGTAGCTTTGCTACGGAAGGTAAGATCTTAAGGCAACATCTATGTGTTCTTATACTTTGCAATGGAATCTTTTGACTCTTTTAGTTACAAGTTTAAAATTAAATTTTCTTTGCAGAATTGAGACAGATTTTACAGATTTCAACATAGCAACATTTACTTAAAATGGAGAAAGAGTATCTGCTATAGCAGGAATTGGTTGCTGGTCAATCCAAGTATTGCAATCCAATGTAATATACTGTAAATATAAAATTACATTTTCCAAAATAATGCTGTTTTCATTCTAGCTTCCTTTAAATATATCCTCTTAGCTATTAACTTCTAAAAGACATGCAAATTGCAAAAAATTGAACATATAATATGAATAGTTTGTGTGGCAACAGCTATATTGCCAATTTCTGAGGGAATAATGTTTCATTAAGAAACCAAATCTTAAGTGTTGTGAATCAGAACATGCCAATGAATGTTTATGTGTCTCTGAGTGGTGTTTGAAAAATTTGGAGGTGATATTTCTACCTCTGTCCTAAACAACCGGTCATACTTAGCTACTCTTAACAGTAGGAGTCAGTAATGATGCTGCTCATAACATCAAAAATCTAAGTGTTTTTATGTACTTTGTATATTTAATATTTGTGTAGTCCTGTAGCTCAGTGGTTAGAGCACTCACTTTGCAAGCGAGAGACCTGAGTTCAATTCCAGGCAGAGGGCGAAACCCTGGGCAAGTTTCCTTACTCCACACACCTCATAATAATCCCTCCAAAACTAAAAACAACAAATAAATTGGTCATTTTCAATCTACGACTGTTTGTGGGACATTGCTGTGCGCAATTGGCTGCCGCGTTCGCCCACAAATATACAGTCAATTCACTTTACAGTGTGTTCTGTGAAGCGCTTTGGGACGTCCTCCCGACGTGAAAAGCGCTATATCAAATGCAAGGATTATTATTATTATTATTATTAATGACAAGATTGAAGGCACACCAACTGTGCTTCCTACCTCTCTTCAGCCAACGCATTGGCACATCTGTCACTGTGATTGATGTAGACTTGTCTTGGATCTGCATAAAGTGTCTTACTCTAAATTATAATTTTAAGGACAAAATTGTTGTTTTACCAAATATATAGTGCTTACAATATTTGTTTTGTTTACTCATTGTTTTCTCAACTTTTAATGAATCCAAGTCACTTCCCTACTTATGGCCATATGTCACATACTACCCCAAAAGGTTTTGTTTTAAACGTTGTTGGACTCTTCATGGGATAATGTGCTGTGGGTACGATTAGTTAGGGAAAGATGCTGCGTGAGAACGTAAGATATTTATGGGAAGGCAAGAATGGTCAATAGTACCAAACCATTGATACCGTTGACCAGGTGACTCAGATTCTGAGATACAAAACAAACAAACTAACAAACAAAATTACATTTATAGAGTGCCTTTCACGTCGGGAGGATGTCCCAAGGCGCTGGACAATCAGGGATCAAGACCCGAGCATGGGGGAGGGAGGGGTGGAGTAGGGGTGAGAGAAGGCAGAGAGGTGGGAGCACGACTGAAGGCACGAAAGAAGAGGAGGGTCTTGTGATTGGCCTTGAAGGAGGCAAGGGAGGAAGCGATGCGAAGGAACTGTGGGATGGAGTTCCAAAAACACAAAACACTTTCCTTTCTCCATAGAAGCTGCCTGACCTGCTGAGTTTTCCCAGCTCTCTCTGTTTTTGGTTCAGATTCTGAGATAGTTTGGGTGTCAGACGTAGTCTGGGGCAACTCGTAGCCATTATGACGTCAATGTCGATTTGGTCAATTTGGGATATTTAGTATTTCCAAACGAACATGGAAATCAGTAGAATTACCATGTAAATCTAACCCTGTGGAGAAAACGAAATAGAGTATCAAAAGTATCTTTTTTTCAAAGAAAAGATTTTGTTTTTAAAATACTTGTGACAGTAATACCCTTAACCTAGTCTTGTCTCCTCAATGCTGTAGTTCAGGTAACGTGACGCACAACAATGAGAGCTGTGCACCTGCCTTGTACGAAGCTCTGCTCCGCTCAGTAATCTAGGTCAGGCAGCAGGTGGGCAGGATGTGCAGCTACAATTCCCTCAGCCCCTCAACATTGAAACTATCCACTCCATAGAATGCAAGGAGTTCTGCTGATTGATTTAAGTTGTAATCTAATGGCATGTAAATGATTAAATAGGCAAATGCAGTTATAAATGGCTTTTTAACGACTCCACTGCCAGCAAATCCTTTCTCAGACCTGCTTCCTGTTTAAATCCAAACTCTCAATCCTGTCTGCACCTTAAATGACGTCAGTTCTCTGTCTCCTTACTCAAGTGATTCTTCATATAATAATATTCCTTGCATTGGATATAGCGTCTTATCACATCTTCGAGACGTCTCAAAGCGCTTCACAGAATATACTGTAAAGTGAATTGACTGGATTCTTGACGGGATTGCGACTAGAGCTTTTGATCTCTTTTTGGAGCTTTTTAGTTTCTCTTTTATAGAATAGAACCAAACTGACACCCCAGAATCCTGCACCTGAAAGTTCGCTCCCACTTTGAAAATAGCAGGTGCATTAAATGGGCATCTGAGACAGAAGCTATGACAAAATCAGATTTTTTTGAAGTATCACAGTTTTAACCACAAGACCTTTGCAGGTCCAGCGTTCCTTTACAGTGCACTATCAATGACTCCATTCCATATCGTAGGGTGAAAATTCTGCCACTTGTCAATGAGATTAAGTTGCTGCAAATTCACCTGAAACTCACAACGCTCTGCACTTAGTGCAAAAATCTGTGCTGATTTAGTAGGCTTGAGTTACCTATGCGAATACTGAATGAAACATTATGGCAGAGCTGTGAGCAGAACATTGTGAATGACCGGAGCAAGACAATAAATAATAATATCAAAACATTCTTGATTTAATGCTTTCGATAAAACATACTTAACAATGATTCCATTCCATATCACTGTGTGTGACTTCTGCCACTTGTCATTTAGATTTTAAGTCTGTAACCAATTTATTTCAGCATTACGTGTTTAGTGTTGGGAATGGATGTTGGATTTGGTGCTTTATTTTAGAAACCATTGCCCTTGTGCTTATCAACTTCGAAACATGACCTCTTCAGTCTGTGGGGGTTTTCATAACTGACAGGTCGTCAAAATCATAACAGCCATCTCCTCTGCTTGTTCTCTAGTATAGTTGGCTCACGGCCTTCCCCAGTAGTATCTACACCTCGTACTTTGGATAGTACCCTGACACGAGGTGAAAAGATTTTATAATTAAATAAACAAGTAAATCACAATGTGTGTTTTACTCTCAAATCCCAGGTGCGCATTTAGTGACGACTGAGCTTCTGAACTGCAAGTTAGTTCATGTCTGAGATCAGGAGGTCTAGTGGAACTGAGCTGATGTGCAGTCAAAGCAAACCTGGGCTCTTTGAGTACTCCAAAAGGCATGTTTTATTCAGCAATATTGAAAGAAATTTTTGTCCTATACGACAGAGGGCAGGAACCAATGTTGTCTCTTCTACAATTAATTCAGTGTAAGATTCAGGATATAAAATTTTGTGGAACTCATACGGTTTTAAACGGATTAAATATTCTTAAAATGTTTAAACTATAGCTTCAAAAAATTTGAGTGTATTCCTACAAGAATATTGTGATCAATAAAACGTATAGCGAGAAATTCCACTTAGGTCTAGATTTACTCTATTTATATAGTATTTCAGGGAATATGGCAAATTGTTGAATTCAGACTTAATGTTTGACTTAAAGTCGTTTTTCTGCAGCTCTTAAGAGAATTTGCAGAAAACTGGTTTCAAAATTGAAGAATTTGCCAAATTTTGGACTCTCTGAAATGCTACATCAATAGAATAAATTTAGAACCAGGTGAAATTTCTCTCCCACAATGTTTTATGTAGAGCTTGTCTGACAAAATACTGTGAAGGACATTGACTTCATGAACGTTTACTGCATACAAGTGTAAAGTGGATTGCAAGGTTAAATAGCTCAGAGGTTGTGCTGCAAATTCAAATTGAATTGACCTGCTCAGTATGCATTCGGCACAGTGACTGTGACTTCCTCATTCACATCTCAGTCTGCATTTTCTTCAGTCTGTTGTTGCACTCCACAACCCTTGCAGGCTCAGATTGCTCTCCTCACTATAATAACAATAATATAATAATGATCCTTGCATTTGATATAGCACCTTGTCGCAACTGTGAAACGTCTCAAAGTGCTTCGTATGATTTACTATAAAGTGCAGTGTTTGTATATTTGTTGGCAAATGTAGGTAAATTATAGTTACCTCTGCATTTATTTTGATACTAAATCAATAAAGGAACATTTGGTCATTCTTTAAAGTGGTGGTAAGTGTGGAGCGGACTCATTTAACTTCTTTATCTTTAAACAATTTGAAATGTTTGTTGTTAATATTTTAATTGTCAGAAATAGTAAGCCAAATCCCAAGTCTCTCACTTGCTGGTAGAAGTAGAAGCCTGGGTTATTCTTCACCCACTGAAGACTGAAGTTTTAATTATTTGTTAAATAGTAAAGCTGGTAATTATAAATTTAATTAGGTTAATCTTAACCAATAGCTCCAATAAAGTATAGCCTTTATAGCTTCCTAAGTGTATAGGTAAGTCACGAAAGGCACAAGCAATGAAATTCAATGAAATCTGCACTCTGAAGGATGCCAATGATATTTCAAAATGGAAATATAGCTGCAATACTATTTACCCGAGATATCCACAACCTGCAAGATTCTAACTGAAGGATGCTTGCCATGTCATCCTAGATGTCATTTTGTCTTCTCCAATACTTTCAAATAACTGTTCCTTCCTTCTCCAGAAAACGTCAAAATGATAAATAAAATATTACTATTACTTAGAATCAAGAGTAGGCACATTGAACCTACTTCACCATTTTATTAATTCATTTGTTTTTTTCTTTTTCTCTCTCCATATTTTTTAATGTTCTTTCTTCCTGAATATCTCTTGCTCTCTTCTAAACACCTCAATTAATCTGCATGTGTGGCCTTACTGAATAGTACGTTTCACATTTTCACAACTGTACATGTGAAGAAATAGCACAATTTCTGAAAAAGTATATATTTCTATTGATTTAAATAATAATTTATTTAATTGTTTGGGAGTTGATAAGGAATTTATGTATTGTGAGAATGTGAAATTCACTGTCAGAAGCTTTGGTTGACGTAGAAATCATTAATGTATTTAAGTGGAAACTTGATGCATTAATGAGAGAGAAGGGAATAGAGAGGTATAGGAAATGGGATTAGGAGGCCTATATTGAACCTTTACCACTGGCACAGTCTAGTTGGACTGAATGGCCTGTAATGTTCTATGTAAATCTATGTACAAAGGAAGCTTCTGAATTAAAGGTGGAGCAGTCCACTGGATTGAGTAATAATTGGGTTCTAATAATTGTTGTAACATTAAATTTTATATCATAGTGAAATCTAAGGGCAGAATTAACAATATGGATATCTTGGAAGCTATAAGGGATGTGGATAGGAAATATGTAGCATTTCTTATATGTCAAAGTTTCAAAAATCCTTGTATAAAATTAACACACTTCGAGCAAGATCAGAGATTAGATGCTATTTTTTCTCTCCAGAGAAATAGAATGTCGCATAAGATTCCATCAATGCCATATTGATTAACTGCTGAAAAAATTAGATGAATATCTGGTTAAGTGTAGAATTGAAGGTTAGAAGTATAAATATAGACATAAGTCACCAAAATACGGTGTCAAAGAATATGGTTCCATTCCTGTTGGAATGCTGGAAATACCCCTGAGGAACACATCTTGTCGATGCCTAATAATGTAGAACGTACAGCTTTAGCTCAGTAACCACAAGCTGAGTTCTTCAATCAAATGGTTTATGGTCAGTTAAAACCTACAAGAGGACCTGGTCTCCATTACTGCTTTGCACTGTAGCATTTGTGAATCTTGATACTTACACTATCGGTATTGTGATAAGCAGATAAAGGTTAATTCTTCAATCAAATTAGTTGTCCCCAGGGTCTAAACTGGTTATTGTTTTTATTGATATTGGTGTTCTGAAGTTTTATGTAGAAGTTTAGTTATGTTTGGGTTTCATGTTCCAATTACTTTACAGTAAATATATCACTTGACTCAGCAGTGCCTTCATATGCTTCAGTGCAAAACTGCACTATAATATTATCAGTTCACAATGCAAGATATGGACGTTTTATTAGATTGAATCATTAGAGACTATTGTAAGAAAATTTATTCAGGATATCATCAAAAGTAGTCAGGCACCTGTGAACTAAAAAAAAATGAAACATTGTTCTAAGTCTCCTAGCTTGTTGTCTGTATCTTACTCCTTTCCATCTTGCCCTATATTGCACCCCTTTTCCTACCTAGCTTTTATATTGTTGCACTGTTCCTTGCTCCATATTTTTGCTTTCTGTGCTTCTCTCCCTTCCTGTGATGATCAAATTCACCCCTATTGCTCTATTCCTAATGGCACCACAGGAATATACAGTTTGTACTTTGATGCTCTCTTCCCTGGTACATGTAATCTGCTGAGCGAGATGAATAATCACAGCTAATGCTTCTAAAAACTGCAGTGTTATAAAGGGTATTTAATCATCATGTCTACACCGCACACATCCTAGTAAAGTCGCCAGATCCAACATGCCATTAGCATTGGTTAGATTGTCTGCTTCTGCTTCACTCTCATCTTGAAAATGGTGTAGATTAAGTGAGATCTGTGGGATTAGCAGTAGGGAGTGAAGCAGCATTTTCATTGATGAAGCCAGGATGAAAAATAACTGAGGTTAGTTTGGGATCGTGAGAGGAGAAAAGGGCAACGACATAGCTTAGTACCAATTGCATATCTTGTGGAGGAACAGGAGCTCTACTGTTATGTTTTAGGGATATTGAAAAAAATTAGAATTTAGTTTGTGGTAGTTTACTGTCTTTATGATTCCACCAGTAAAAACTCAGTCTTGCTAACAATTCCTCTTTTGTCTTACGTTTTTGAAGCTTCCTCTTTGCTTCAACTTACCCCTACAGCTATATATTGTACGTATAATAAGGGAATGGCTGGTATAAGTATAAAGGAGTGGTGCTACAGATATATATATTTTTAAAGTTTTTAACTTTCACTTGCCCTCTGGTATCTGGAATGAATCTGGTATATTTTTTCAAATGTGGGGCAACCTTGTCAAATTTAACAGTGCTCCACCTCCAACAGCCAAAGGCAGGTGTGAAATTTCTCTGAGGTTACTGAAATCTAGTTCATTGACTACAGGTTGAAAAACACCTTTTCCAGAGTAGTTTTTAACATGTTCTTGTTTTTCTGTTGTTGAAGTTTTTTTTAAAACTATGGTTGGATAATTCATTCTTAACCACAATAATATAATAATAATCCTTGAATTTGACATAGCGCCTTATCATGTCTTCGAGACGTCTCAAAGTGCTTCACAGAATATACTGTAAAGTGGATTGACTGTGTATTTTTGTGGGCGAAACACGGCAGCCAATTACACAAATGCTACAGAGCAAAGCAGGAATGGAGACCAGGTGTGGGTGAATGGATGATCTTAACTGGCACAAAAGTGGCTTTTCAAACCTCCTGTTTCTAATCTGGTGAATATTTCCCTGACTGAACTGAAGGTAAAAGTGGTGATTGATATTTACCAATTTTAATTCTTTTAATTTTCGGTGTATTGATTGATGAATTGCTAATGGTATGTTGCCAAACAGGGGCAGACATGTGCACTGTTATAACATTGCAGCTATCTGTCAATCAGCTTCAGTTATGAGCAACGGATCCTCCCAACGAAAACAATCGATGCTACATTCATTAATTTCTTCAAAGTGATCGGAATAAGTACAATATATGCTCGGGATATGGTTGGAGGTTATATAGGCAGGTGCAGACTGAGATATTGTCAAGACGCAATGAAGTGTGACGATAGATGGATAATTTAGAGCTTTTGTTGGATAGTTTTTATGATTAGGAAATATCGGTGCAGAATTTTCCCACAGAAGATAGTTGATGGGTGGAGTTCTTAATAAGGGGACATTATTTTTGCATGATTTGCAACATATGTGAGTTTGATCAGCTGAACGACCTTTTCCATGCTTCCTAATGACTTTACTGAACTTACTTGATGCAATTATTAAACCACAAGAGTAGGTTTGGGACCTGTGGAACCATAGATTTTACGTCCATGCTTTGTCAGTGCTCTCCTACTGTGACTAATTAAAGATGAAAGCATGTTCCAACCAATGAACTCTTGACGTAACAGTTACTTAGCTGGAATTCACTTGCATTCTTCCTTTAATTGGACAATGGCTTTCTCTGGCATGATGAATGGGGAGCAGCAGCAGAGAGCCAGGCACTATTTGCCTTAAAGCTGCATTTTTTTTGACTTGTTTTGATGGTTTGAAAAATAATCATTGCCTTAATAAATCACAGAGTTAGTAATTTAAATGAACCTTGGGACAAAATATTGATCTGGTTGCTCAGTATGGGAACTAATCCCACGAGCCTGCATCCAGAGCAATAACAAAGCCACTGTTTCTATTTTCCTTCAGAATAAAGTTACTGTTTGGGATATTTCTTAGTCTTCAGTGTTCTAACAGCAATTTCTGTAAGCAGAACTCTGTCCTGTATGATGTGGAAGCTGCCCCCTGTTTTACACACTAATAATAATATAATAATAATTCTTGCATTTGATATAGTGCTTTTCACTTCTTCTAGACGTCTCAAAGTGCTTCACCGAATATACTGTAAAGTGAATTGACTGCATATTTATGGGCGAAACGCGGCAGCCAATTGCGCACAGCAGTGTCCCACAAACAGTCGTGGATTGAAAATGACCAATTTATTATTTTTTTGTTTTGAAGGGGTTATTATTAGGCGTGTGGTGTAAGGAAACTTGCCCAAGGTTTCACCCTGTCTGGAATTGAACCCAGGTGTCTCGCTTGCAAGGCGAGCGCTCTAACCACTGAGCTACAGGGACTCCACACTGCCCTTGCAGATGGCCAGCAATTCCCCCACTCATGCGTCTGAAGCTGAAGCTACTAACTCAAGTAATAAGTGCTGTCAAGCAGAGTAATTCGCCCAAGTTGTTTTCAAAAAAATGAAAGTTATTAAAGTTTTAACCAGTTCATTTTTAGAGAAAATACTCTTAGTGAATAGTCCTTAAATCCTGTATCAAATAAAATTAAGTCTTAAATACTGCAATAGCTGAAGAATTATCAGGATATTGTAGTGGAATGCAGGCGTATTAGATTAGGTGGACAGAAACTGGAATTAGAGAAGTGGGTCCAAACACAGACAGTGGATATCTCAATGTGGTTACACATTATTAAAAAATCCTGCAAAAAAATCTGATCAATATTTATTGATATCTAATTTATTGTTTAATACTTATAAATACTTATTTATAATTAAATACACAAATGTTGGCTTTGTTTCCAGTTACTTACTGTCAACCCTGAGCATCGGGTCGCCAGCCTTTCAGAGATTCAGAGCTGCCCCTACTTAACCGATGTCAACTGGGACGCAGTTTTTGAAAAGAAGATGGAACCTGGCTTCGTTCCGAATGTAAGCAAGACAATTCTGCATTGAATGAAACCGTTTAATTCTTATCACACAACCCACCAATCTTTCTAGATGTGACCCTAATGCTAAATGTGCAACTATTATGTGGTCACCACAATTAGCTTGGAGACGGTGCCTGTTTCAATCAATAACTACAGTTATTTGCCAATTAAACAGAAAGGTCGGCTGCACTGCGACCCTACATTTGAACTAGAAGAAATGATTTTAGAGTCGAAACCGCTGCACAAAAAGAAGAAAAGGCTGGCAAAGAACAAATCAAGGGACAACAGCAAGGATAGCTCCCAGTCAGTAAGTCTTCCCAGCGTTATTATGTTATTAAACTAACTCAGACTATATAAGATGTCTGTCTGTCTGTCTGTCTGTCTATTTGTTTGTCTGTGTGTATGCATGCATGTATGCATGCATGCAATTCATATTCTTGTAATTATGTTCTCTTCCTTTCTCTAAAAGGATAATGAGTATCTCCAGGAGTGTTTAGAAGTAGTGAGACAAGAATTTATGATCTTCAACAGAGAAAAGTAAGTATGGTAAGAGCATTTTATCATTAATCTTGAAGCTACAGTGCAAATTAGACTGCACATGAAGAATTCAGTTGTCTGAAATGAAACGAGATCTAACTCCCTAAATTGCGTTCATCCAGGTAACTTCACAGTTGTCTTGTACGGTTTATTGAAATATTTATTTGGAATGTATAACATGACACATATGAGAGGTTGAACTAATGTTGTTTGGAATACTAGTGTAATTCTACCCATGGTGGACAATAGTGGATTTACCAGTGGCTCTGCCAATGGAGAATCAGCTAAAAAACCCATTTTTGCTTCTGTGTGCCAGAGTTATATTCGAATATCCAGTTATGGGTATTATCCAGTCGAGCATCTATCAGTTCATGTACTCAGTACTGAACAGTAAGTATTCTGTTTGGGATCTTTTGTTTGATGAATTGTGCCTGAGACACAGTTGGAGTCCCGTTCTGTCAGGGCAGGATACCAGACTGAGCTCTGTGTGAGAAATATCGAGGGTAAAAACTCTACTGCAACAGGATCAATTCCAGCTCCCAACTGGCTTTGTCCCCGCACACAAAGAGGAACATCAAAGCAGAGATCTTTGCAACCTGGAGCTCTGGCAATAGACAGCTGCTGCGAATGCTGTTTTACTGCTGCTGGCCAGTCGAGAAAAACAAGTCACCGGTGATATAAACACGGGTATTGATTAAAGCCAGCAGGAAAATGCAGCCAATAAGTAACCAGCAAAGCAAATTTGTTTTTGGTAGTTAAAAACAGTTAAGCATCAACTTGAGGTTGGTTGTTTAGATTTTGTAAAATTAAAACCAGCTCCGTTTTAGCAGGAATATTCTCTGTGTGAATCCGTCATTCAGTTTATTTCAATGTAAATATTTTTAAATGCCTAGGGAGAAAAATCAATGCAAAGTTTTACCAAGATCAAAACCTACAGTTTGGACTGGCAGCTGTCTTCCTTTTAGAAAATGGTAATGACACGGGTTTAATCTTTGACTAGGTCAAGCATCGTTCTCAATCTTTGCCTTCTGCTGATTAGTCCTGCACAATTCTGAATAAGTAGAATTAAATTTCCTTGTGTGATTTGGAATTAAGGTGTGAAAGGTGGAGATGACTCCAGGTAACCTGTGGATTTGTTAAGTGAATATCCCTAAATGAGTCCCTGGTAGTTTTTGTTCATTGGATTAAGTTGTCCAAATCGTCATTCCTATTTATTTATTCATTCATCCTTTTCTTGGAATCTTGTATAATCTCCACGACATACGTTAATGTTGGAGCACACTGACTATTGACTCAGATATTGAGTATTGAGTCTTTGAAGTGTGCTTGCTTTCTATCATTAGTGTTGTGTTGAGCTGTTTTAATGTGATCGCGTGCTATAAAAATGCACGTTTTCTTTCTGATTGTGACCAGGAAGGTTTCAAACTCATCCTAGGGTGTCTTTTTTGTCTTTTCCCCATATTCTATAATTATTTGCCCTGGAGGCTAGAAGGAAAAAGATAAGCTTTAGTTGCCTAAATTCAGACTGCTCACTGATGCCAAGTATAAGAAGTTAAGCACGCTCCAAGGAGCTCTCCTTTGTGTAAGTCATCCTTTATTCCATTATTTAGTTACTGAGGTGGGTGATATGCAGGGCTTCACAGGGAAGCACTACAAAAGTCAATATTTGGAGAATAGGTTCTCTAAATTAAAACGAATCTGGGACATAATTAGGGATAAACACTTACAATTCATAATACCTTAAAGGCCTGGAGTTACCATCTGCTTTAATATTCAAACTGACTTAAAGGTGCAGTGCTCCCCTTAAAGTACGATTCTAACATGCTTTGTAAGGTACCTTTTTTTCTTTTTTTAAATTACTTTCGAATTGCCCTTATAGAGTGATATAGTTTGCCTTTTTTTTACTTTTTGAGCTATCAGTCAAACTTGTATGGGTAGAGGCCTCTGTCAAACTGCGAGTTTGTGGTTCTAGTAAAATTCTAACCTTATGTACTTCTCTGAATTGTATTAATATTTGAAGAAGTGATCTGAGACCTTACAGCAATAATACATAGATAAACTAAATTAGTATTTATGCAGTTTTGCACCAGATTCAGATATCTGCACAGAATTGTAACTGAATAATTCTGGTAATTCTCTTTGTCAAAGCACCTTTGTTGTTCAGTTTGTTCCAGAGATGAGATTTTGCAGACTCACATTAACCTGCAGCTCACAGACAGTAAAATTTGTTTTTTGTTTCTCTGAAAATAAAATTGTTAAAAAGCAAGGCAAAGCTCTTTAAAATCGTACCATGAAAGCCTATTATGGGGCACTGCACCTTACTTTTACAATAATCCAATTAGTCTCTCTTCAACCCTGTATAATCTCAAGTATTTCTTCAAGATAAACCATAACAGATCATACTGCAGCGATCTCCGTTAACTGCCCAACAATCACAAACAATATTACATTTGCTTTTGTTATTTGCACTTCACGTTGCCTTGGTCTGGGATATTTTCAGTGAGAATGGTGATATTCTGGTAATATTCTTAACCGCTTAAATTGCCTCCCCTCCAAAAATCAAAAAATCGTAATTTGTAATCTGTTAATCACGCTTTCCCTCTTCCTCATAATGGCTTCTGCACAGGAAAGGATCAGTTTCTGTGTCAACAATGGTTATTATATGACAAGGATAATAATCCTTGTATTCACCATATGCTCTATTAATAATCCTTACATTTGATGTATATTGTTTCATCAATGCACATCGTAATAATAATTATTATATAACAGAGTAATTACTCTATTAAGCCGATGATCTAGATCTAAAGTTTTCATCATCATGCTTCAATCAGAATGAGGTCCACACAGAAATACTGAAAGTCACCATTAATAATGAGCTCACCTTTTCCAGCTCAGGATTCCAAAAACCTCTCCTTCCAATTAAATTTATAAATAAGGGCTTGCAATTCCTGTGGAAAACCTGGCCTCAGAACATCAGAACATGTTTTTTTTATAACCATTCAAAGATCTACACCCATTTAGTAACTTGTATACTTTAATGGTTAATACACATTTTTAATTTACCACCGAAAAACTGAACCTTTGCTGTTCGCACCTTAATTTATTTGGTCAAGGGATGCGGTGAGCTAACAGTAACATGATTTCAATTATCTTCTACTTTTTAAAAACTGAACATAGGTTGAAAAAAATGCCAGGAGAGCTGACACCATCTGTATCAAGGGCTGAAGCAGTTGCCGAAGATGAGGGTGAAAGTGGAAACCTGCACATGTGTAGCTCGGTCTGTTCTTCTACAAGTAGCAGCTAGGACTGAGGTTAGGCTGCTCTTTCCATTTGTCTTAACGTTTCTCAGGCTGCTTCACTGGGCTAGTAAGCTTAACAAAACTTTTCAACAGCTTTTGAAAACAGATCGTCCATGGAACAGTTTTTAGAAGTTGAGTGAATCACAGTGGGGATAAAAAAGAGCATTGCTCAGTGAATTTATTTCATGTATTTTAGAAAGAAATGGATCAGTAAACTGGATGATTCTCACGGAATTGAAAGGTAGATATTCTCTATGCAACCACATTATGGCACATCATGTCATGAATTTAACAGGAATTTGAATGCTTAAAACAAGCTTTATCTGTATTTCTCATTATTTAGTTTTTGTGCTTTGACAATAATATCTTGCTAACAGTAGGTGAAAATCTTGATTTAGGAAGGACCATTGCATGTAAAATATATTATTCAAACAAATTTGGCACAAAAACAGATTGATAACTTACAGTCATTTTATTACACATAAGAAATTGTCAAAAGTATTGTTGGACTACATTACCGTACATTAGAAATAAACAATGATTTCTATAGCTTCAGAATCTTTCATACGGGGAAGGGAGGGAGGGGAGGGTTGGGAGATATTGAACTGAAAGGTTTTATGTGTAAATAGTAACAGTGTTTCATATCCACAGTTTTATGTGGAAAGCTTTGATAGGAAAAAGTGTTATTAAACCAAATTTTCATACAAGAGCTTACACTGTTGCTCAAAAAAAAATCAGATGTGCAGGCACAACATGGGTGAGATGGCCAAAGCTTTTATAGCACTGACATTTTCATTTGGAACATGCAATTAGCTGTATTCCATTAGCATATTACCCAATGACTTGAAATGATAATAATACTCAATTTGTTACATCAAGTGCATACTGTCGCTTTGAATGATGTACAGTGTGATCAGTTACAAAATGTTATAGCAAAGTAGAAAAAAATGAATGAAATGCCCATTATTAGTGTTTGATATCATAGTTGCTTAATGCAATAGGCTATTATAATTGATAGACGAGATCCTTAAGAGGTTTTCTGAGACTGAGCATCAGCAGTCATGTAGCTCAATTTGCTTGATGATACCGAGAAATCATTCAGAGATAACGACAAACAGTAAATTATATTTTAAGAACCTACTGTATGTATTCAAATGTTACTTATGTATTTTTTGTTGCATGGACAGTACATTGTTTTGGATTAAAGTCTGGTTTATCCAAATTAGTTCAATTGAAACAAAGGTTTTCAAAAAAACGGTGTATCTCTGCATTATTGAGATGTTGAATTTTTAATATTGAAAGAAATGGAGCATGATCCAGTTTCTTGCTGTAATAAAACACATGCAAATAAATTTGTTCTTGTACATAACATTGATTTAGCATGTATATTTATTGCACAAAATAGTTTCCTAGTTTTCAAAATATGAAATTAATTTGAGATGGAAAGTGACTTAAGGTCACTTCAAAAGGTTGACCTACTTCAAGTTGTGTTGAACTACAATTTATTTCATTGGAATTAATAACAAACCTAGGGTGGATTTGAATGTAATATCGTGGCACATATTGAAGCACTACAGTAGACAGTAATCTATTCTCACTTAATTCACAGTGTAGGATCTGATCCCACTCTAACTGAACTGTAGAATTGCAATTTATGATTGTTAAATGGGCTACAGTGGTTTCTATTAAATTTTGAAATAGTAGCAAAAACAGTAGTCAATAAATAAGATTGGGTGGGGGGGGGAGGAATGTGCACAGTAAAAGTTAGTCATTGTGTGAACAAAACTACTAATTACTGCACATGAAGGTACATTTCAAATGCTGCCACAACTCTTCACTTCCATATTAAAGGAAACTGGAGAACCCACTATGAGTGCTCATTTCAACTTGGCCACATATACATTCAGTCAATTTATTAGTCCATGTGTAACCCCATTCCCCTTTGGGCCTTTAGACTTCATTAGTGGATATGGTGGTTTCAGTCTGTGCCATGATATTGGCTTCAGGATAGTCTGTCGACTGCATCAGTCATCCTGGAAGCAACTTAGTACAACTCTGGCACCAAGGAAGCAACTTCAGTGGCTCTCAGCAGAGGTGGAGCCGTCAGATCAGAGTGCAGCCTGACTGCTTTATATTGATTTATATTGATTTTCAAACCATTGTCTGATATTACAGTGATGTATTAGAGTTGGCACTCAAGGTTACTCATATTCATTAACGCAAAACCCTGTGTGGATTTGATTTTACAGAATGACAAAACTTGGAAAGATATATCATGACCAATTGTTTGTTCTCTAGTAACTAATGACAATGTGTTATTCTCTCTCACCATTCAATTTCTCACATCTCTTGTTCGAGCGATATATACTGATATCAGTGCAGCTCAAACTCAAACTGCTAAAAAAACAAACGCACAAGATCCCAGTTACAAAATTGTATTTTGTGTTAATCCAGATTACATCTAATGTCTAACAATAGGGTAGGAAATAACAAGATATAAAACAACATCATTACTGAATTCCCTGTCAGCTTCAGTGGACTAGTTCTCACCCTTGTGGGTGGATGTCTCTTTCACTCACTCATTCGCTCGCTCATGTTCTCTCCTCACTGTACCTTTCAACACAGGCTGCATGATGTCTACCTTTACATATATCTCAGATGCTTACTGAACCGTTCAACTCGCTTCACTTCAGTAAATTATGCGGAGCTGCTTTGAAGTATATTTAGAATATTTGAAAAGTCATTATTTTTACGATATTTATTGTGAAATATTGTTACAGCAAAAAGGCCCCTCTGTAAATAATGAAATTTGAACTGCAGCAAAGAATGGCACTATATATTTTTATGTAGAGGAAATAAAACAATTCAATATATTGGAACCGATGTTTGATTTTACTTACGCATATTTAAGTATTGTCACTGTATCCCCTAGCAACTTCATGAGGGGTTGTGTGAAGAGATGACGTTCTTTACCACGGCAAGATGCTGCAGGGTCCAGAAGATGAACCATTTTGCTCATAGAGTGATTGGATTCAAGATGTGTTTAAATAGAGGTGTGGGGACAGTATTGAGTCACTCAGCAATTTCAATGCCTGAGAAACCAGGAAATGTCAAGTTTGCTTTTTAATCCCTTCTATGAGCAGCAGTTAAAAACATTTTGCGTAATTCTTACTTTGTTCTAAATGGACAAATACACAGAAAAATGTGTAAGGAAAACTTATCTGTAGACCTCTGCATGTGCTTTAGCAATTTTGTAATGTGGAAAACCTCTTCAATATGTTGAGTCAATTACAGATTACGGATTGCTTCAGAAGCATTCCAGTTTCTAGAATCAGTGCCCAGAATTCTCCATCAGTCCAGTGTCATTCCTAACCGATTGAATTAGTTCCCCGTTGCCTGAATCAGAGCTCCTTTGGGAGTTCCTGCACAGGGCAAGCAGAATGTAAATGGTGTAAATTGATCAATCGCACTTTTCAGTGGATGACCAAGGATCAATTCACTCACTAAAATGTCATTTGGAAAGGTTTATTTTCATTGGAGTCGCACATAATGAGAACTTTAAAATTATTACACAGGTCCTCATACAGATAATAATCTGATTACATCTTTTAAACAGATAGAGGTTGGATGTCCCGATCAATTGCATAGCTAAGCATAATCTGAATAGCTGACTGTTACATTATTTCTCAGCTTCTGCTATAAGTAGATAGATAATGGCTTGGCAGTGAGCATTTGAAAAAATTGCTAGAGTAGGAATTTTCACCAATCTTGCAAAGAATTAACTTCTGGTGTTCTGATAGTCACTGTCAGAATGTGAATTAAAAACAGCTGATATTACACTCAGAAGATAGCTAAGGAAATACTAACCACATCACTTTCTACAAGAATAAACTGCCTCAATACTTGATTTGTTGTTGATCACAATGAGAAGAGCATTATGATATGATCCATGGGGCTGTTAATATGTCAGACCGTCCATCTGTAAATTAAGAAGAAATAGTCCAAAAGCAAGTTTCATGTATACAACAATAGGCTTTGGTGAAACCTGGGTCCTTATTGTATTGCCATTTAAATTGCTAACAGAATCCAATAGCAACTTACTGAATCTATTCATACTTATAAGAAGCCCTGATGTCTCTGTGCTTAAAAAGCTGTCAGTCTACTTTATATATTGAGTAGATTAATGCTTTGAGTAAAAACATAGCTAATCTGGTTGGAAAATACAGCAGGAAATAAATGCTTTATGGTTTTATGTTTCTTTTCCTTTAGTGGCTACGTTCTTTTTGTTCTCATTAAGGTGAGAGATATTGATCCTAAGAAGCAGAACTTTGACATAAAGAATCTTTAGCGGCAGGTGGCAGGCTTTGCGTAGAGAGCAATTAGAACTATTAAAGCAGCCTATGTATAGACTTCTTTAACTCAAATTCTAATCCCAGCATCAGTATTGAAGCCCCTGAGATGTGATATTCCACCTGCTCTAGCAAAATTTTAAAAAATTGTTAGAGTAGGAATTTTCACCAATCTTGCGAAAAATTAACTATATTCTTAATGTCCATCAGTTAATTCCTAGCTGTGCTTTTAAGTATGTCTGAGAAAGCTGGTGGAAGAATTCGTTAAAGCCATGGGTTCATATGACTTTAGGCTTCAAATTCAGAGTTGGGCTTAGATCAAAGGCCTTGGAGTCTCATCCACCACCTCACATTTCTTCCACTGAAAGGAAATCTCACTTTTTTCATGTACAGAGCTTTTCAAATAGATATAACCATATGGATTTTCAAAACCAGGCAACTGTTTTTTTCTATAGGAACACAATCTTTGATATATCTACTGAAATTGGTCTGATGGTGTGAATTTCCCTCTTCACCTTCATCCCTCTTTCCCTGCACCTTCCTTTCTCTCCCCCATCCCACATTGCACACAAATTCTGAGGAAGATGAAAATTTAAATCCTAATTGTTTCCAGAGATCAAGCTTCTTTACAAAGTGTAATGAAGGCCCAAACTACAATGGGTGGCATTCTCAGTGAGTCACAGAGACTAAATTTAAACCAGCTCTGTGACAAAATTATTAAAATGTAGCATTTCCAAAGTTACAATGATTAATTACTGGGACCTGGAGAGTATCTGGAAAGCAAGGCCAAACTCCACAGCTGAATAAATTATGTAAATTAAAGTGTAATGAGCAGTAAAACATATTCAGTAATCCATACCCACAAACCACACTTGCGGTATAAATATATTTCCAGTAATACCCTAATTGCAGCAATCATTTTCTGGATACGTCTATTTTGAAATATTTTATGACTAAAATGCAGAAACCGTACCTTTCAATTTGATTTTTTTCTCTGAATGAATGTAAAATTATTGTATTTTCATTTGATTTACTTTGATTAATGGCCTGCACACTGGTTACAAGTACAATGTATTGGCAAATTTCATAAATTTCATGAAATTGTGGTCTGAATTTTGTGAACTGTACTGAGAAAGACTGAACATCAAAATAGTAGGTTCGAAAAATTAAGGGGATGAATTGGAATTTGGGATTTTTTTTAAAAAAGGCACCAAATAAAATAATCTTTTCTACTTGGTCACAAACATTTTTATTTGTTATGATTTAAAGCTCTTTTCAAAGTTTACAACTGAACTAGAATAGCATCACCTACTGGTGGCTTTTTAACAGCCTATTAAAAGACAATTTGCCCATTTTATAAAGTGCAACCTAAAGTAGTTGTGAATTCCTGTTAAAAAAATCCTAAATTAATTCATTGAAAGTTAAAAATATTATGACAATCTGGAGTCAATTTGGGAATAATGAGGCAAAGGAAAATACACCTCTTGTATAGATTCTAAATGTAGATTAAAATAAATATACACTGGTTACTGTTTCATCGCAGAAATCTACATAACTAATCAAGCCAAAATGAATTATTAATAATAAGCTTTGCATTTGGTTTAGTGCCTTTCATATTGGAAGGACGTCTCAGAGTGCTTCACAGGATTTACTGTGAGGTGGAGTGACTGTAAATTTGTTAGTGAACGCAGCAGCCCATTGCAGACAGCAATTTCTTTCGTAGGGCGATCAAACAAATGGCCAATTTATTCTGGGCATTGTTGGCCAGGACACTCCCTACACCAGAAGAAACTCCCTGCATTTTCTACAGTGAAATTTGGTTTATTGAATATCTATTGTGGTTCTAGTACCTATTAGATCATTAGGCAGTTGCTGAGACTCAGATGCATCCTATCTGCTGACCACAGGACAAAATACTACTGAGAGTCATTGAAATAAAACAGTGCAACAGGATGGCTGTAATGCAGTAAAGTGTACTTATTGTGCCACTAAACAGTGAGATGGCTTTGATTATCTGTTCCTTTACATTTCCAGTCAAGGCATTGGCACAATGGGAAGCATCTAAACTCAAGTATGGAATGAGAAAAGACCATTTGAACTATTAGGGAGCTGATGAAAGCTCATTTCTTCACAAAGGATACAAATATACGCTCCAAGTATGTTCACTCTCATTTAGGTAAAAAAACAAATATTTCTGCAGTCAAACCTCTCCTCTCCAAAGCAGAAAAAGGGAGAGCTTGTATCATTACAATGAATTGTAATATGATTTGAGAGATTTTTGTGCAACAGCAATGAACAAGTCAATAATTTGGCTAAGAGGATAATGTCCCTTTAAAAGTAAATGCCCATGTGCAGTGTGAATTACCCATTGCACATAACTGATGGCCATTTCCTGTGGTGGAAGGTGAATGTTTTTCCAGTGAGGGAGATTGCCAGTAATTGCTGTTGTAAGGGTAAATGGAAATTGTTTAATAATAATAATCCTTGCATTTGATATAGCGCTTTTCAAGTCGGGTGGACGTCCCAAAGCGCTTAAAAATTAATCTAATGTAATTGTAAATGTCTTGTGGTCTTTTCATGCTTTCAGTTGATGACAATCAATCAGGCCTTCAATTTACGATATGGGTTTTGCCATCATTGCATCGGGTAATTTGTTGTTTTCACCATTTTTATTGGGATTGCTGAATTTTGTGCCTGTTTCCCTTGCTCGTGTGATCCCTGATAGCTGAGTGAGGGGAGACCATTAAGAGCAATGTCTGGCAAGCTTCCTGCTGTTTGTACAATTAGGATCAACCTACCCATTACAGGGCTTTGGCTTCCAGGGTCAACTGCAGCGAGTGGAAAGAACCCTTCTACCAGTCTGCTGAAGGTGAGGAACATTAGAGTCAAACCTTTTTGTTTTATGTAACAATTTATTTGATAAAGACGGACCATTAACTTGAAACAACGTAACTTTACAAAGTTTTGAGGCTTGCTTATGTGCTAGAAACTTTGTCAGTTTGTGTTCAGAATTCTGACGTGAAAATCTGAACACTGGCCCGCTTGTGATCAAATCTGGATTGCACTGTAGATGCCCATTGATACTGGAGTTTGTTTCAACGAGGAGTTGGACGATCAGATTTAAGCACTTTTTGTTTTACAATTTATTTGTGTTCAATTTATATGTAAATAAGTGAGCAATTTACTCACTGCATTGTAGCCATTTTTACTCAATGCACACTTGTTCAACTAAAGCCTAAGGCAATTTGATTCAAATGTATTTAGCTTTGGCCAATTCATTTTCCATCATTGGATTAAGTATGAGTAGCAAATTAATAGGCGCCTGTTAACCTCAAGACCAAGCCCTTGTCCCAGAAAGTTTATTGGGCCAGGTTAATTTTACATCTTCTAACCACCTAATACAAGTCTAACACACATGGGTAATGGCTTCAGCTCAAAGACACTTTTCTAGGACTATAGTGTGCTCCAACTGAGATCAATGTTTGTTCAGTTTATAATTTCAAACTATAAGACAATCCAGACATTGAGGCCATAATTGCAGAAATTAGATGATGTTAATAATGAAGCTGCCATAACATTACAATTTTACATATTCAAGCCTTCGCAAAAGTTCAAGTTATATTAGTGACATTTAGCAAAAAAAACATGGTAACCATACAAGACAACACCACTGCATTTTAAGATATTACAATTCGCTTTGTTCAAAGATGGTATTATTTTGAAAAGTGTGCTGTGTAGATATGATTTCTGAAAGCTTTAAATCCAGAACTTCCAAGTGTGACACGTGATGGTGAACCTAATTAGTACCCCTGTAGCAAGCACCTTCCTGTATGTTTGAGGGTTTTATTACAATTTATTTGTGTTCAACTTATATTTAAATAAGTGAGCAATTTACTCACTGCATTGTAGCCATTTTTTTACTCCATTGCACACTTAAAAGGAAGTGAAAGTGCAAGGGAGATACTGGAAAACTCAGGCACAGAACCATCTTAAGCTGTCAATATGCCCTTTACAGTTAACTAGGTCTTTACTTTCCATAACTGTATATTCAAGGTTAAACATAAAAAAATGCACCTTCATTTAAATGTGAGGAAAAGCTTCTAACTTATTTTTTGGTTCAATAAAATGCAAGTTCTGTTAATTGTTAAAAATCTTGAAAAGTTACCCTGTAAATAGAGTAAAAAATACTGGCTTGCTGTACAGCATCATGAGTTACCGTTGGCATGTGGTTGTAGAAAGTGGTTAAAATATTTCTAAAACCTCAAGGTTTTTTTTTCCTATATTACTGTATTGTTTTACACCATCTCAGACTCTTGTGGTAATACAAAGTAAAATACACGTCACCTTCAATATCACTATCATGCTTTTGAATTAAACACAAGTACAATCCTACTGAACCACAACAATAAAACAGTTCTCAATGCTTGTTGCATACTTTCCAATTAAATCAAATATTAATATAAATTAATGGCTATATTTTATAATACAAAACTGTAGCTCTTGTTGAATTATTTGGCAGATCAAAAAGGTTCCAAATGCATCATTCATCAGCTAAAGGCAGTGACTTCATAAACCAACTTTTGCCGCAAATACTGTACTATATACAGCTGCTTATGAGAATATTTCTGAGCCTCAGATGACAAAACCTGCAGCAATATAAGGGCTCTGAGATTAATTCTTCTCATCTGTAGCTGATTGGAATTCAACCCAATGTAGTTATATTTGAGCGCCCACCAGGGGGTGCACTTATACGCTGAGTGGGACGCCGAGGAATATGATCATCAGTCTGGGATCCTGAAAGAGAACGAAAAAATGTCATTTAAACAATAAGCAATAGCTACCTCTAGCGAAATCTATAAAAGCCTATCCCGAAAGAGAATGTATAATGTAATTCAGCGCTGTCTGTTTAGAATTGCATTTGCTATTTAAATCACATGTCGTGTTTCAATTGAATTAATCTCTTAGCTGCTACCGTGACCTGTTCCTTTGGATCTTTCTTTAGCCAAGACCAAATCTCTCCGTTGTCCACTGTTCAGGCATCCAGTGCAGTCTGTGCTGGAGCACTCTGTTGCCACCCAGTGGCTAAAAACTAAGTTGCCCAATGTGCAAAGATAGGCCCAGCTAAAACAGATTTACAATACAAAATTACGTTCGTACAGCGCTTTTCACGTCAGGAGGACGTCCCAAGGAGCTGGACAGTCAGGGATTTGAACCCGAGAGGGGTTGGGAGCAGGGAGGGTGGCTAAAGGCACGGTCGAAGAGGAGGGTCTTGAGACGTGCTTTGAAGGAGGCAAAGGAGGGAGCAAGGCAAAGGGAATGTGGGATGGAGTTCCAGAGGTGGGGGGGGGGCAGAGAGGCTGAAGAGTGGGGACTGCTGAGTGGCGGGTTTAAGATGTGACCCTCCAAATGGGAGTTCTAGTCTCTTTCACCCAAGCTGCTCAACTGCCAATAAAGCAGTTTTTTTTCTTGTGTTCTTTCCCCTAATTTATGCTGTTTTATTCACTTTATTTGTATTTAGATTGCTAGAATTCAGTTAGTGATAAAAGTTCCTTTTCTGATTTTGAGGAAAATAAGAGGGAATTAGACAAATATCTAAAAATGACTAACATAAAAGGGTAATCAATAATAATAATGATGATGATTTCATTTGGTATCATACCTATCACATTGTAAATATGTCTCAAAGTGCTTCACGGGATGTACTGTAAAATGGTGTGACTGTATGCATTTTGTGGGTGAACGTGGCAGCTGATTTGGTGTGAAAAAGGCAGGAGAATACAACTCGGTTGAGAGATCTTTCCAGGGTCAACATGGGGCCTCCTTGGAATGGCCTCCTTCTGCGCTGTAGATTTTTATGGTTCTAAAACAAGTTATCAAATTCTAGAATAACCACTTTAAGATTTCAGTTCAATCTGGAACAGCTTGATAACAATAATAATGATGATGATGATGATATGTAATAAGCAGTAAACATTTTACCAGCCAGAGTGAATCCAGACTGGTGCAGGTTGCGTAACGGCTGAACGGGCTGCTTAGCTGGGGACATCCTGGCTGATGGAATGGGAGTCATAGCTCTGGGAACCACAGTCACATCTTGGACAGGACCATCATAAATTCCTCTGGGAACACCTCGAATGTCAGCCAACTGTAAAAGTGTAACTCATCTTTGAGAAAAAGTTATTGATCCAAGGCGTGTAGAACAACATTAGATATTTTAACAAAAGTAAGTCGGGAATAAGACAATTTTCACAGTCAATCTGGAAGATGTTCAAAGCAATAAAATAAAAAAAGTTTTGATCAGTAGTACATAAATAGCAGTTTTCAAACTATCAGTTAACTATGTATTGAGAGTGTTAACGGTGCCATCTGTGAACAATTGTTCAGTTAAATATTTTAACCAGAAAGTTGTCTCATTGAAGGTAACGGATGTGGGAGCCTGTACAGGGTTTGTAGTGCTTTAGAGGCTTCTTATTTGAAAGAACGATATGTAATGTGCCAGGTGTTGGAAATTGGAAAACATTTGCATTAACAATCTAAAGAGATCCTAAAATCATATGCGCTCGATGCCTCCAGAATTGCCAGTTTCAATGCTGCTAATAAAGCAATGCTAACGAATCTATTAACTGCCCCGAAAGGCAATAGTTGCCTATATTCATTCTGGGACACTACCCTGCATGTTGTTGTATACCTCAACCCTGGGTAGGTGTTATTTCCCATTTATTTTACTTGAATTTAATTTCTGTGTTTTCCTCTTGCTACTTCTGCAGCATGTTAAATCCCAGATATTGCAATCCTGATTAAAATTGAACACTTTACCTTGGATCTTGCTTTTATTCTTTTATAAACGAAATCTGGGAATGTCTTTTTGGCAATGAAACGTCCACAGCCCTCAGTGACATGCAGAGTCCCATATTCCAGAACAATTTTACCTTGGCTTACGACAACGGAAGGGGAACCATGGCATTCCATGCCTTCAAAAATGTTGTATTCAATTGCCTGGAAAAGTACAATGCAGAGTTTAATTTTTTTTAAGAGTTTACATATCAAATGCCTTTGTAAATCCTGGATTATTTTAAGAAGTGGGGGCGGGTGGTGGAAACTGGAAGAGATTCTAAACTGAAAGTAAATTAATCGAGGGTGAAAAGCAAGAAATAGAAAAACAATTTTAAAAAAGTAACCTTCATCCACTTTGATTTGTTACAAGGAAGTTGAGCAAACAGATGTATGGAGTTTGTAGGAAGGTATAATAGGTACAAAAGAAATAAAGAGGAATAATTACATGCAAATGTATGAAAGAATTTCTATGAGCTACCAGGTCGCAAACATGAGAAGATTTTTCAACTGTACTATTCTTATAACTATATATTTGCATTACCAGATTGTGTGTTTTTGCTGAAATGATCTTGACCGCTTCTGGATCCCAAATAACTAAATCAGCGTCAGATCCAACAGCAAGCCGCCCCTTTCTGGGGTAAAGGCCGAAGATCTTTGCAGCATTTGTACTGGTTACTGCAACAAATTCATTCTCGTTCATCTTTCCTGTAGTCTGAGATTTGTTGTGAAAAACAAAACAAAAGGAATTATACTGAATGCAAATAGTTTACAGTCTAAAATTATCTATATATTTTGCTGTCACCTTCCTGGTGATATTAATCACATGTTTGATTAGGGTTGGAAAGGACAATTTCAGGACAGACACCAGAAAGATTTCTATAGCCACAAGGTAATTAAACAACTGGAGCAGTTTAGCAGGAGGGATGGTTTAGGCCAGGACAATGGACTCATTTAAAAACAGCTCAAAGAAGTGATAGGAAGACGATAGGTTGGGAATTCTGGAAGGATGAGCTTGAATGGCTCGAAGGGCTTATTAATCCGAATCTCTCTTGTGCTCTTATCAACTTACAGGAATGTACTGATCTCAATTTGTGATAGTTTGGGAAATTAATTTTCTTTGTCTTTATATACAGCAAAATTTTAGCAAAGACCATTGAGAGCTGCACTATTTGGTGTCAAGCCCGAAGGCAGGTACTAATTTATTTAGATTTCTAGGATTCAAAATGGTTCGAAGCTAGCAGTAGTTACTATATAAACTGATAAAGGTTAACATACCACAGCCTTATCCCAGATAATTGTCATCCTCTCTTCAATGCCATTAACTCCTTCGGGGATCAGTCTGAAGTTATCTTTTCCGACTGCTTTCTGCGCTGTGGTGAAAGCACAGTGAGCACTGCCAGTAACCTGCAGATCACCACTGTGTGGAGAAAGTCAACTGTTGGTTACTAAAGGTCATGGTGGAACAATCCCTTTCAATAATATTACCCACTTGATCAAAATGGCACATCAAGGTATGATCACAGCGCCCAGTAAAGAATTAAGAAGCGCACTTTGAACAACTACAATTTGTTTTTAAATTTCTTTCTGTATATATATTTATTCATTTGTAATTGACCACTGTTTTTTTTTACTTTATCATTTATGCATTTAACTAGGCAATTATGAAAATACAAAATGCCTTTTTTGTTTCCGCTTGGTAAAAAGAATCGTTGACATAATCTTACCAAGACAGCAGAGCGTTTAGGTAATCGGGGGTGGAGGTATCAGTGCTCAGTGGAGGAGAAGTAACAAACGCAGCAGCTTTAGCCCAGTTCTTGCTCCAGTAGTGAGATCCATCAGTACCAAGACTTGCTGTTATTGGTTCTCCATACACCACTGCACCTGTTAGACCATTCAAAGAACTGGCTAAGTGCTCAAAATAAAACCTTGGTTGTGTTTTATTGACTGCTGTAACACATAACTTAAACTGGTCATTGTGCAAAATACTTGTTTGCATAAATATATATCTGCTTCTTTTTTTTAGGCCTGAATATCTAAATTCTAGACGGGTGGTGGGGTGGGGGGAGGAAGAACGAGAGAACAGGAAGCAGAAAAATATATAATTCTGTGGAAATACTTAAGATGCATTTATTTCTTACAGTCTTCTAGTCAAATTGCGGGACTAGTAAAACATACTTGCAGAAGATAGTAGCTGTGAGATAAACTGATTAGGTACTGTATATATCAGGAAAAAATATATAAGCAGAAGAAAAGAAAGCATTCCATTACTCAAGACGTTTATTATTTTATTGAGTCGACTGTTTACCTTTCTTCCGTGCTTGTGCAATTACATCAGCAGCACTTTTGCTCATTACTTTTGTGATGTACAAGGGGCAGTTGGCTTGGCTTGCTATGGTGATTGCACGATACACAGCTTCTGCTTCGACCTGAAAGAAATTGATTTAAACTTCAATGAACAAGCTTTCATTAAAGAATGCCCTTTTGCCTTCCTTGCCTTCTCCCATTGAAATGAGTGGATCCCTTAGGAAAATGTTTTCAGTAGGGAAGAGGAAGAATAAATTTGGATTGTAACAAGATGAAGACCCACTTCACAACAGATGATATGTACACTCCATCAATGAATGAACTATATGCTGAAAAATAAATGTATTTAAGGAGGTCATAACATGTTAGAATGCTAGAATAAGCCACTATATCGGTTATACACGTGTATAGTACATTTTCACTTCTTGCTTAACTTTTAGACAATTATGTAACCACCTAAATATTTAAACTTTTGCTAAAGGTGTTCTATGACAAAGTCCCAAATCCCCTTGACATTTTTGTGGTTCACCATCTCATTCCACCACTTGATTCTTGTTTCTTGTCTTCTGTAAGTTTTTTTATTGCATGATACAACTGAGATTGGGGAATAAATACTTGGTCTATCACTCCATTACTTATTATTATTATTATTGCAGACATAAGGCAATGTGAGGAAACTCAGAAATAAAGGTTACATCAGTTTTGACACCATTTTAATGTGTTGTTCAGTGTTTAAAATACCAAGATTCCTATGATTCATTCACTTATAAATAACATCGTTCAGTGGGTCAGGAAAGAATTACCTCTTCTGGTCGACTCAGAACATGTCCCTCTGGTCCTGTAATTCCAAGCTCCAACATTCTTTTCTGCTCCTAAAAATAGATGAAAATATCAAAATATTTCTAGTGTAGAGCGGTATATTACAGGATTGCTGCACATTAGACCCTGATGTAACTTGTCTGAAAGCATACTGTGTACATTGCTATGTTTAAAGACCAGCTATGTTCATAGGGAGGAAACTAGGCAAATAAAGGCATCACAACTTTTTGAATAGGTTTAACATGTTATATTTCTGAATGAATGAATAATTTGTTCTTTGTGGCTATGTGAAAAGCTCCATTATCATTCTATAGTGGTTTAAAAGTTTAATTTCATGCTACCCACCCTGTCCTGCACCCTTCCTGATCCCAACCCCTAGCTCAGGTCCAAATCCCTAACTGTCCAGCTCCTTGCAACATCCTCCTGACATGAAAGGTGCTACCCAAATGCAATTCATTGCTGTTGATTAAAAATTAAAAGTAAATTTACCTCCTGAATGATGTCTCCATTTTCAGCATGCACAAGTGCAATAGCACCCAGGTCACGAATGATGCTAAAGATGTCGTATATCTGCCAATGGAAAAGCATAACATTGCCTATGGATTCTCACCAGAAATACAAATCTATAACAAACAGTGTTATCGATAGCTTTGTTTTGTCTGAAGGTTGTTATTACCTGAGAATCGGTACACTGGTATTGATCTTTGTAGGCCATGAATATGAGAAAAGAGTTCACACCTGGTTTACGAATAAAAAAAGTTATCAATATTAAAAAACTAATGTTTAATTATCGATCCGGCAATACTTAATATTTATTTCATTCTTGCAGTATTCTTGGAGCTAAAATTTCCAATACATACATGAACTCAAAATTTAATTTCCAGACCTTTTTAAAAAAAAATCCTATCCTCGTATCACTAAAAACTCACTAGAAAAAACATTAATACTGGAAATATTGCTAACTTGTCATATATTGACCATTTATCAGGCTATATGAATAATCCGGCACCTAATTTGTTAATATAGTCGGGCATGAATAATTTCATGAATAGTCAAGGAATAACTTTCCTCCCCCATTACAAACTGCAGTGCAGTGGTTTGCGTAGCCCTATTGGTGGTTAGTACAGTGTGAGTGGATGCTCCTGGCATGCCTGCTGCTGTTGTCACAGTGGTGATGCTGATTAAGCAACGAGATAACAATGTAAAGACAGGGGCACGGTGATCTTTAGTTAAATGTTGTTAGCCGTGTAACTGTTTTCACAGTAACGTTGCAGAACAGAACTCTATTTCCCATTCCACAGTAAAATGAACGAATTAGCAGTTTTCATTATTTACTTTCATTACATTTCTGATACATTAAAAAAAATCTATGATTCCCAGAAAAAGGATAACTGAGTTCTTTAGATGTCATATATCTTCTGTTCTGTAGAACACTGGAAAATTTTGCTCATGAAAGTCATTTAAATATATCTTTTCAGTTTTAATGAAGTAAAGTTGAGAAAACATACATTAGAAGAAAAGTCTGTTTTCCTTTTGGAGTCGGCAGCGTGACTGAGAATTACCTTTATCCTTCACCAATGTTTCCATTTCTTCTCGCAGAGCCTCATGCCAGCGTGTGATATCCACATGTAGAGAGTAGTCACAGCAGGACTTGTTATCAGCCCATTCTCTCCACTGTTCATAGGCAGAAAGCAGACTTGATCCAGGTTCAGGTTCACAGATCACATGGTCCACTGCACAAAGAAAAAATCAACTCAAGCAATTCATTTCATTTTTTTCTCATTCATATTTTTTCCTCTGAGGGGTGCTATTCAGGTCGGCACAAACGTTTTGGGGGTTCTGATTTGAAGCCAGTTAAGTGGTGGCCATACTTTCAGCCAGAGATAAAGTAGCCATTTACTAACACTATACTTTAAAGTAAATCCTGGGAGGAGTTTTGATCCGCCCTCTGAATGTAAAATGTGCTATATCAAATGCAATGATTTTTTTTTATGCATCCTGAATGATCCAGCTGGGACAGGTACAACTTATTATGTTGAGGAATCTTAATATGAACATCATTTGACAGTCTTGACAAACCTTCTTGTCAAGGGCTCCATTCTAACGATTACAATTTCCAGGCCCTCTGTTGTATTTCTTTCAGCTGAATGTCACATGCTTAAGAGTATTCAAACCACATTGAGAGTTCCACATATATATGCTGCCTACACATGGAAATGTCTCTGTGGTTGGATTGCTGGTTGGAGTCCTGTAGCTCAGTGGTTAGAGCACTCGCCTGGCAAGTGAGAGACCTGGGTTCGATTCCCGGCAGGAAGAAACCTTGGGCAAGTTTCCTTATTCCACACGTCTGATAATAATCCCTCAAGAAAGAAAAATAATAATTTGGTCACTCAATCCACGACTGTTTGTGGGACACTGCTGTGCGCAATTGGCTGCTGCTTTTCGCCCACAAAATATACAGTCAATTCACTTTACAGTGTATTCTGTGAAGCGCTTTGAGATGTCTAGAAGAAGTGAAAAGTGCTATATCAAATGCAAGCATTATTATTATATGCAGACTCTCCCTGGATGGACTCGATCTACTTATCTAATCCTGGAGAGTATTTAGCGCAGGTTGGCGAGAGCCAAGACCTGTTGAGAAATAATTGTATCATTTAGTTTGATCTCCTCGATTTAACTCAATTCAGAACTGTTTACAGTGTCCAGTGAATCAATATGTCACGTTCCTTACTTATCATAGTGGTTCCTCCAGCCAGTGCTGCTTTTGTTCCTTGATAGAAGTCATCAGCTGTAGTCATGCCCATGCATGGCATTTGCAGATGGGTGTGGACATCTATTCCACCTGGCATGACCATCTGTCCATTGGCCTCAATTGTCTTGATGCCACCAGGAACAATAAGGTTATCGCCAATTTGCCTAATAAGACATGATGTGGGTTTAATTTAGAACTGCACAATGTGTTAAAACTTGTAAGAATGTTGAGCAGTAAATTTACAACCCTCAAAAGAGACTTGTTTTCCAAGATAATTTATTTTCCAATGATTTGCCTGCATACTTTAATTTGTTTTCGTAGACTATTTTCCCTTTGTTAATTCTAACTCTCCTAAAGTGAAGACATTGACTTGCATTTCTCCCTCACTTCCAGTCTTGGTGTAGAACCTTAGTTCATCGCTCTAAACTATTTTGTCATGATGGTATCCGTGTTATTTTGGTGCTTTGGTGATCATCACTTTCCAATTGTATACAATAGTGCAGCTCTCTCAATACCAAATCCCAAATGGAACAAAACAAAAGGATGTCAAAGTTCATTCTGATAAGTCAATAGCAATCTTTAATAACAATCTTTAACTGATTTCAAATGGATGGAAAAGGGTATTCTTTAAATCGTGTAAAAATTGTCACCTTTGTGATAAGAATGATTCAAATTATGATTAGAAGTGTATTCGTGCATATACAGTAGTAACTTTGCACATTGCTTTCTTTCTGGAAATTTATGAATTGCAATAAGCAACTTCAGCTTCTTTGTCTATAAAAGGGATTTTTTTTCAGTTCAAAAGTGGAGGTGAATTTGCTGCCATCAATTATTTAGATTATGCTCTACCTTGACTCAAAGCAGTAGCTTACATTTCCAGGGCATAATAGTGTTCTCACGTTGTCTAATGGTTTTATCTGGCTTTTCTTGGATTAAACCTTTTAATCGTTGTGACAAAAATAACAATGATTTATCAGAATATGGAAATTAATCCTTGACTTCCATTTTGCCTATTTTGAAAATCACTTATCACAGGGGGCAAAATGTAATCTTGTACTGCTGCACTTTATTTTAAATGGTCTCCTCGTTCCTAAAACTGAAATTATGTTATTAGGCATGATGCTAGGATTTAATTAATTCGACCTTCATGAGTGCAGATGTCAATTCCTCTTTCTGTGCGCCTTAACTGCCACATTTCGCCAACAAAATACACAGTCATTACACTTTAAAGTATCTACTGTGAAGCACTTTGAGATATCTCAAAGACATGATGAGGCTCTATATCAAATATAAGGTTTATGATGATTATTATTATTATCATCATCATCTCTGGTAGTCAGTACACTCCTAACGCACATTATCATTAGTATCAATGTTATTAGTATTACCTTCACCAGAGGAAAATAGCTGCAATGATGACAGTAATTGTTAATAATAAGCCCTTCCATATTAGATGAAGCAGATACTTTGAGGCTCTGATATCTTTCAATGTACAATTTCATTTTCAAAGTCAGACACTCAATTTTTTTCTTTATTATTGATATGTCTCTTAACTCAACTTCCACAATAATTGACATATTTCATGATCTAAACTATGGATTATATAGTTTAAAATATATTGTCAAATACAAGGGCTATTTCAGTTATGTATGGTTGTCCGTGCTTTTGGCACTCGTGCACCTATTAGCACTAGACCAACTCAGGACAGCATATAAACATGTAATTCGCTTTTATTGATCTAATGTTCCATTTCTATTTGTGCAAACTACACTGATACTTACTTTATGATCCCATCTTCCAAGTAAATATCAGCTAGAAAAGACTGGTCATCATTGACGATCTTTCCTCCTTTAATAAGCAAACGATCACTCTGAAAGAAATATTTAATCAATGAACTACTTCAAGATATTTGAACAATAATGCAGCAACCTCGTGACTGAAACAAGCTTTCTCAAAACACTAACGCTATAAAATAGTAATGCTTTAGCTCAAAACATGCCAATCAATGTTCATATTTGTTTTGTAGATTAAAAAAATGTATAGTGTGTATAAAATTGAAGTGGGATAATGGATCTATTCTGAATGAGGAAACACCCTTTTTGTGCAGAATAAATGAATAAAAATAAAGCAAAAATTGGAAGCGTTTGAATTGCAAATAGTAGGATGGTGCAGCTCATGTTATTTTTTGACTCAGCCATTTCATGCAAATAAATATTTCTGTTGATAGTTGGCAAGACATATCTACGGCTCTCAAGTGTCACACCCATTTCTCTTTGGCAGAGAATACATGCTGATCATAAAGGAGGGTGAATTCACATATCAACACCAAGAACATTTTCTTTTAATTCTGAAAGAAAAATTGTAAATGTGGCTAACGCATTGCAGCCATGTTCTGTGCAGCTTCACAACTGGTCTCAATAATGCCTTTACTAACTCTTGCAGTGTGACCTAGCACAAGCAGAAATTATGCTTGCATTTGCTTTTCCCAGGGGGGATGCTGTGGATTTTCAAACATTGCATTGCTTTCTGCTGATAATTGAGACTGTGTCAGTCTCACTATGAAATCAACCCTTGAGGTGAGTTGCTTTATGTCTGGGCTTTATGTCTGGACCAATTTGCAATAAATCATTTGTGCAGTTCACATTGCTGTAAAAACGAGAGACTGGTGAGCTTTCTAGATACTCTGTGCTGATTGGAGCACATACAGGGCATTTTTACAGCAATGGGTCCTTTATGCTGGTTCCCAGCTGTAGATTATGAGTTATATTGCTGTCATTTGCAACATCAAATTTATTCTGATCTATTGCAAGAAGTATTTGTTAGCAATTTGTACTTATTGAGCCAATTAACTGCAAAATGCATTTTAAAAAATATATATATATTGCCTTTTTTTTGCTACTCTTCTTCCTGATCAATTCAATTTTGTGGTCCAGAAGAGAAGCATAACCAAACCCAGTCTTTTCTTCACCCAAAGTGGAAACATACACACCTGGAATTTCACCTTGTGTTAGCTGTAAGACTATTGGTCTTAAAATTTAAGATCGTGTAAAATCCATTTAATCTCAATTTGGAAACCAGTCTTCTGCCATTTTTAAAAAAGAACTGGCTGCCAAATTTAAGAATTTTCCTTTATTATGAATGATCTTATTTTAAAAATAAGTGGAATTGCAGTCACTGGATAGCAAATAGAAGCAAGAATTCTAGTGGGTGTTTTCCCAGTTTAAACTTTTTTCTGCTGCTCAAGATGAGATCTGTTGGCCAAATGTAGAGCAAGGATCCAAGTTCCTCTGTCTTACTGCAATATAATTGCTGCATTTATCCACTGAACCATCTCTTAAAGCATTGTTTCCAGTTTGCAAAGCACATTCTTTTTTTAAAAAAGAGTTCTGAATTTCAATTGTAGCCTTTGATTGGAACAAAAGTTCAGCACTAAAATAAATGGACAGCAAATTCCAGATTCATTTGAACATTAGTATGAAAAGTACAACAAATTTTGGTGATTCTCTCCCCCCACTCCCCTGTATTGCTTACGTATCTGTGTGAATATTTAGATTCCCAATTATGTCAACAGAAGCAAAACTTGTAAATATGCAGTTCTTTCTAAAGTGTAATGGATTGCATAGAACATTGGCTAACAAAAAATTATTCAATCCACGACTATTTGTGGGACTTGCTATGCGCAATCAGCTGTCTCGGTTTACCCACAAAAAGTCAATCCACTTTACAGTATATCCTATGAAGCATTTTGAGACATCTCAAAAACGTGATAAGGCACTATATCAAATGCAAGGATTATCATTAATAAAAGATTACATGCATTATTTTTCAGTGCTATATTTTGTATTATCACCACTAACGTGTCTTTAAAATATTGCATGATAATTCACTCTATAGAATTATAGGAAGGCTTCCTGAAGTATTGAACAGAAACACAATAGCTTAGGTTGACCCCCAGGGAACTGGTAATGAGTTAAAACTTATTTCCAACATTGGAGTATTTGGAAAATGGGCCAAGTCGTGATGTTCAGGAACATGGCTGCTGTTCGTGAGTGGGAGAAGGTGTGAAGCCTAATTCAGCAGCTTGACAAGGGCTCAGTTACAGCATTTATTTCCTGTGCTCAGAAAGATTTTTAAAGATTAGGTCAGACTCCTAAACTTCCATCTTGTAGGAAGAACTTCACCCTTTTTTGTCTTATTACCTCGGTATTTTTAATAAAAAGAATCGTTACCACATAAAATGAGGAAATTATCCTGCTCACTCATTTCCGTACTATTTTTACATTAGTGGTAATAATAATAATTTGGTCACGCAATCCACGACTGTTTGTGGGACACTGCTGTGAGCAATTGGCTTCCGCGTTTTGCCCACAAAATATCCAGTCACTTCGCTTTACAGTATATTCTGTGAAACACTTTGAGACGTGTCGAAGATTTGATCAGGCGCGACATCAAATGCAAGAACTATTATTATTATAAATTCTAATTCTTTGTGGGGTGTTGCTGGCACACATGAGGTGCCTGATTTATCTATGCAACAACATTCACTTTCTTTGAAAATGAATCGTTTCGGTAAAGGCTTTGGGGAGACGATTATTTTTCCTTTCGGAAAATCCAGGCCAAGGTATTTCAATTAACGCCATTCTCTAAATCCAAAGAAGGAGGCGAAGAAGAAGAAGAAAAGAAATCCTGCACTGTGCTAAGGAGAGGGTAGAGAAATGGATCATGCGTGTGGGCATTTAAATGTCTGAATCCGGTGAACATTTTCGGATTTTTAAAATTGCATTTCTCGCCCAGAACGAGCGAAACGAAAAAGCAAAAAAACAGCCCAACAAAAGCGTGGCGACCGGTCGAAGCACTGGATGGATTCCTTTGGTTACCGCGACCTGAAACTGACAAACAGAATTGTGGTGAATGAGATATTTTCTTGAAAACACCATCTACGCCCAGTTTTTTTTTCGTAGCAAAAGCCGCACAACACAAAGGCTGAAGTACCCACTGGTGCTGAGTGCGCATGTCCACAGCTCCTTTCTCTACCATCATTATAAAGAGAGAGAGAGAGAGAGAGAAGTGGATCATTTCACACACAATAAAAGACATGTTCCCTCCATCCTCCACAAACCCTGTGGGCGGTGGAGGCTCTTTTATGCTAAACATTTGCCATAGAAACGCTTTTGGGAATCATCCCCCCCCCCCCCCCCCCCCACACACACACACACAAAAAAAATAATAATGTACTTTTACACGAATTGCACGCAATCCATCCTAAAAAAAAACACCCCCCAAACACTCACACACACACAATAAAACACCAGCATTGTTTGCTCATTGCGTTTGGGAGTGAGAGTGTGAGGGAGAGAAAAGCACTGAGTGGCTGAGAGAGAGCAGGGAGATGAAAATCCCATTTCTTTGTCGGTTAATGGGAGCACAGACACCCCCCACCCACATCCCACCCTTCCACCCCCCCACCCACACCCCCCCCCACCCACATCCCCCCCACCACTCCCCCCCCCCCCCCCCCCCTCCCACCCACATATCCCCTCACCCCCACACCTCCCAATGGTGTCAGGCATTGATCCTCTGCGTTTTCACTACGTTTGCAAATCTTTTTTCCCATTAAAAACAGACGTGGGATTTGCCCAAACTCGGATTTTCCCACGGTGGGGGCGGGGGGTGGGGGGGAGGAGAGGGAGGGGAGTGGGGGGTGAGGAGGGAGGGAGGAGGGGAGAGAGAGAGAGAGAAAGAGGGAGGAGGAGGAGGGAGAGAGAGAGAGAGAAAGAGGGAGAGAGATACAGGGGATTTTTTGGGGGGGTTTGTTTTTTTTGCAGATAATTTAACATTTCGATCACAATATTCACGTCGCCATTTTCAGATTTAGAACAACAACAAAAAAAAAGGTGATGGTGATGAGAAGGGAGAGGGGGGGTCCATCCTTCCTTCCTCTACGATCACAATCCACCCTCACCCCCACTGCCCCCCACCCCCACCCCCCCCCCACCCCCACTGCCCCCCACCCCACCCCCACTGCTCCCCACCCCCACTGCCCCCCCACCCCACCCCCACTGCTCCCCACCCCACCCCCACTGCCCCCCACCCCACCCCACCCCCACTGCTCCCCCACCCCCCCCACCCCCACTGCCCCCCCACCCCCACTGCCCCCCCACCCCCCCCCCCCCCACCCCACCCCCACCCCCCCCCCACCCCACCCCCACTGCCCCCCACCCCACACACACACACATTCGTATCCCTTCTCAGCAGAAAGGGGTTCGCAACTCGTCTCGACCACAGACCTCAACGTTTCACAGCGGAACAAACAAACCCAACAGTGCGTCTTGAAGAAGATTTCCTTTAAGTTATTGATTTGGCTCTGCGGCTGGAAAACCCTTACCGTGATCCGCGGGATGTTCTTCTTCCCCTGGTAGGACAACATGTTCCTAAACCTGAAACGGTCTGACTACGAAACACAAGGGAACAGTATTTTTTTTTCTTTCTCTCTCTTTTGTCTTTCTTTCTGTCTCTCTCTCTCTCTGTCTCACTCACTCACTCACTCACTCCCCTCTCTCTCTCTCTCTCTCTCTCCCCTCTTTGCTCGTGTCGTGTTTCGTTGTGTCGGTCGGTCGGTCGAACAGATGGAAAGGTTCGGTTCGGTTCGGTTCGAGGGGTTTCTGAGAGGCTTCTGAGCCGCGGGATCTCTTGTCGTTTGGACTGGTGCTGCTGGTGCTGAAAATGGTGCTCTCGCAGAGGATGAGGCTTTGCAGCTCAATGTGGCACCGCCTCGTCTCTCCTCCTCCTCCTCCTCCTCCCACTCCCCATCACTAACCCTCCCCACCACCCCACTCCCTCCCACCCCCCCCATCCCCTCCCCTCCCCTCCTCCCTCCAGTGAGCCCGAAGACCATCTGCCTCATTAGCATTCCCTACATTAACATTCACAGCATTCACACGTCTCACGACTGCAAAACGGAGTCTCCAGCAGCAACCGACTGATGGCACAGCTTTCAGCTCTGCTCATATGGTCCCTCTGATGTAGGCAAATGCCCTGGAATTAAATTGCTTCTATTCCCCCCCTCCTCCTCCTCCTCCTCCATCTCTCTCCCTCTCTCCCACACCCACCCTTCGTTGATTTTTTGTAACCATCGGTGCATAAATAGAAAGGCAAAATACACCACCAACGTTATGTACTCTCTTAAGTCTTTTATGCGCAGAGACCGAGAGAGAGAGAGAGACAGAGACAGAGACAGAGAGAATCCTTATAGCTCAAAGGTTGGTTGATGTGCGGGTGTCGGGGTATTTTAAGCAGTGGCAAAAGAAAATCACAGCACAGTCGGGGGATTTCGCCTAAATGGTCCAAACACGAACTGATTAAAAAAAAATAGAACATCACAAGAGCAACGCAATATTAAACAGAGGAAAACGACGACCAGAGGGCGGAGCGATGGCAGTGTCCGCGGTTTGTGTCTGCGGTCGTTCCCAGTGATGGCGTTGCCTTTGTTCTGCAAATTTTTTTTTTTGCTGCTTTGTTCTTATTGCTGGAGAGCTGCGATTTGCTTTTACATTTTAGCCTCAAGTAGTCCCTGGAACCATAGACATATGCAATCCCCGGGCACAGGGTTCCGCCAGCGCCCACACTCCCCGTCACGTTGAAGCTTTCCAGAGGAAATTAATTTAGAATTTTTTTTGGTGCTCTTTCTGTTATCTCGTAACCTTTCGGACGATTGCTTTTGTGTGTGTGTGTGTGTGTTTTTTTTAAAAAAAAGCTCTCCCTAATAGATCCCTTTAAAGAATAGGCGCCTCACCCTCGCTGACTGATCTTTGTGCTGTTGGCAATGTAATGAAGCGGCTTCTCTGGTAAGGACTGGACTGAATTGTGGTTTAAGTAACGTGGACGTGGTGGAGATGCACAATATCTGTTTCAAATCGTTCCTCCAGATGTACTATTGTATAAGTGACACATGCTGTTTCGGGTATTGATTCATTGATCCACGATTTACGTTCAATCAAACACGTCGAATGTAGATTTTACTTTTGTGCCTCAGTTTTTTTTTATATATACACACACACACACACACACACATCAAATGGTATGATCTTACCAGTCAAACAAAGCCAAGCGAGTGACATATTATCTATGCAACATCTGAATGGACTTAAAACACGGGTTTTCCGTGAATGTGCAATGAGTCCTTATTGCAACATCAAGTACAAGTTAATAAGAAATTTGAACAGAATTGTACTTTCCTATCGCTTGACATTCTTTCCAGTGGAAGGGGTGTAACTGCAAACACACACAGCTTTGACGCCTTATTCCGGGATAAACTCAGGTCATCGAGAACCGTTGCCACTTCCACGCCGACATTCAAGTACAGTACAGACAAAGACGACTTGAACTTCATTTAAAGGTCCACGCGAAGGATCTGATCGTGAACAACCTGGAAACTTTATAGCAATGAAGTTCAAGGCTGGAGAGCGGCTGAGAATGACTGTGAAAGAACTAACGGTTTGCGTTGGATTTCGCTCTGAAAAGTCACCCTCTCTCTCAACTCGTTCTCTCTGTACACACATACACACACACATACACACACACACACACACATACACACACACAACACACACATACATACACACACACATGGTTAGCGAAAGGTAAGTTCAGGCAGATAGAGAGACCGAGTCGAACGAGAATGAATTGTGAATTGCACAGAGAGGCGTTACTGAGAACTTTGAGTAATGCATTCGCCCCTCTCTCCCCTTTTTTTTTTCTGCGCCATTTGCGAATACAGAGAGTGTGTGAGTTTGAACAACTTAACCACTGAAGCACAAGTGGCTTTGAGGCACTTTAAAGAGATGCGTTCGGCGCAGAACAAGTCCCAGCGCTCACCTTTTCGCAAGGACAGGAGATGAAATGGGAAGAAATGGGAAAGCCGCTTATTACCTGGTTGTGGGGGTCGGGGGGAACACCTCCCCGGTCAGTCCTGAGAGACTGATCCAGGGGATTGGACCCTGATTCTCCCCGACCCGCGGGCTCACTGTAGCCGGACATCTCGCTGATATCACTCCCGGTCTCACTCATCCCGTCAGACTCCATGGAGATGTGGCTCCCACCGGGTCTACTTAAACCCCGGGCACTGCGCCGCCCGACACTCAAAGAGTCGAAGTCGATGGTCTTATTCTCATAAGCTCCCTCCACGTTACAGAACATCCCCCCATACTTTTGCCGGGGTTTGGGGCTGCTGGTGCCAAGCCCGGCCAAGTACACCTTCTTCTCCTCCTCCTCCTCCTCCTCCTCTTCCTCCTCCTTGGGCAATTTGGGTTGCTTTTCTGCCATGGTCTGTCTGACTGTCTGACTGACTGTCTGTCTGACTGTCTGTCTGGTCGAGGTGACTCAAAAGGGCTGAGTGGATCAGAACTGAACTGTTAAGAGAGTGGAGTCTCCCTCTGTGTCTGTGAAGTTACTTGTGCTCCAGACCTGACCCGGAAGCGACGAGCTTTGATTGCCTGTGTCTCCAGCCGACCTTCATTTAACGAGGAACCGCCTCGATTCTCTCCAACCCCCCCCCCCCCTCACCCACCCTCCCACCCACCCACCCACCCACCCCCACCACCACCACCCACCACCCAAAGCACCAGTGGAGCTGTTCAGTGACTGTGGTGCTGATGGCAGGTCTGGACCACAGCAATACTTCGCTTGGATACAGGGAGCGAGTGAGGGCTCTGACCACTACTACATGTACATCATATGTCCCCCCCCCCCCCCACCCCCCCCTCAACACACGTGTGGTCAACCATCAATCAAGTCACCTCGTGAATGTGGACCCAATAAGAACAACCTCAGCGATGTCAGGTTAAAGCTCAGTTTAAGAGTTTGGACAGTGTTTCCATCAGAAATTACATTTCACAAAAATAATTGGGGGGAGGGGAGGGGATGCTTCTGTCCAAGGAGATCTTGTCAGCAACTGCTCTGTGAGTCATTACGGTACAGTATGCTGTGTACAAATGAATGTTACGCACTTGTATTTTAATAGCATCTGAAATCTAATTCTGTAAATCTCATTATATAGTTATATCAGCATTTTGCTTAGCTCATCGCCCAATATTGGGTTTGCACTCGAAAATAACTTTTTCTTTCATCTTGAACATAATAGTGCTAGTTCAGTCTCTTATTTTTTTTTTGATGACCAATCCGTAGATAATCAAATTTGCTTTCCGAAGAATCGACTCACTCCGGTGTAATTGACAGGAGAGTCTGGATTCTCTTTCACAGCTGTTGTGCGAGTTGTATAAAGTGTGTGTTTGTGTGTGTGTGTGTGTGTTTTGCATAATTCCTCTCCTGTTCTCATCTGGTTCATAAGAATACACTGCTGGTGGGACCGAGTCCATCATGTTGTCCTGCAATCGATACTGTAATCGATATATTGCAAAAAGTTCAGGCCTTTTCAGTTATTTCAGTTTTCATTACATCATTATGCAGTGAGTCAACTATCAACTCAGGACAGTTGACTCACTGCCCAATATAATGAGAATTTCCTGAGCACTCTCATGTATAACCTCATATCTACGAGAAAGTGTGTCATGATATTTCATAAGTTAACTTCTCTAATTATGAAGTAATTGTTCCTTAAATGTTGCTCATGGTTTCTTGATGGAGATCTTCTCCTTTGCTCAGTATTTCTTCAGTTTTTGATTGTGCCCACTGCTCCATCGCACTGTCGTAAGAATCTGGGTCATACGTTCATTTTCCCTAACAAAAGTTGCATCTGCTTGCTTTCCCAAACAACATTCTGTGCTATATTCTATCTAATCCGGGTCTGTTTATTATACCCAAGCTAAGATCATTGGTGAATGTGATGGATCCAAAGAGGAATATTTGTGGGTCTTCATTACTTTTGGCTTTCCTATGGTAACATTTTACAATTACTTCTTGAATTGCTATTGGTATCTAATAATAATAATCCTTGCATTTGGTATAAATGCCGTGTTTTTATTGAGTACAGATCATCTAAAGATATGAACCCCAATAAGTTGCACCTTACACATTGGATAATGTCTCCAAGCACTTTACAAAGTTGGTACCTAACACCGAGCCGTGAGTGGGAAGGAGGAAGTGACTGGAGGTATAGGCAAAGAGGTACGTTTTCAAGAGTTTTCAAATACAGAGGGATTTGGGGAAGGAGTTCGATAGAGTAAGGGCATAGTTGATGAAGGCTTGGCTGCCAATGATGGGGTGACGGGCCAAGGAATGCTTAAGGGGTCCACATTTTCTGTGTAAAAGAGGAGAGTGATGCTGGAGAAGAACACAGAGTTAGATAGAGGCAAGGGTACATAGAGATTTGGAGTTGACCCCATAATGGTAAAAATATTTGTGTGTTTCCTAAGGGAATTTAACTTCTAATGGGAGTAAAAAAAATGTCAGAGTTAGCGTATAATATAAAAGGTGGATAATAGTCTATATATACTCTTGAAATTGTTGAACCATAGAATATGGTGGATGTTATATACAGTACTTTTTATTTCAGAAGTGTTGATGAGGCATCTCACATGAGACTTGTGGTTAAAATAAAAGCTCATGAGAATTACAGAGAATGCAAATGTGGTGATTCATTAACTGTATAATAGAAAACAATAGTTGTAAATGGTATGTTCAAATTAGACAACTGTGTGCAAAAGAGTCCCCAGAGATTTCTCTTGCATTTCTCCTATTCATACACAGTATCTATCATTGATTTTAATTAGGATATCATTAGAAGGGTTTTGTTTGCAAATGACAAGTTTGTAGAAAAGCAATGCCTCAATAAAACGGATACTGTTCAGAAAGATATACAATAAACTTGTCTTCTATTTATACTGCAAGGATGGCACTAAATCATTGATATTATAAACTGGGGCTGAGCAGGAGGTGGTTGCAAGGGGTAGTGTGATACATTGTGAAATGTATAAAAGAGCTCAAGAGACCATTGGATATTTTAGTAAGGGAAGTGGTTGAGGAATATATTATAGCTGGTGGATGAATTTATCAATCACATGGGAATGTGTTGGATCTAATGGCCTTTTCCTAAAATTCTTATGTCATTTCATAAAATATTTGCTGTCAAGGCAATTTACATCATACCTTTCTCAGCCTGAGCTGAAACTTATTCTGCTTTTAAGCAGGCTGAGAACAGCTTCCTAAGTCTAGACATACTTTATTTATGCAGTATTTTAGAGGATCCAGAATTTAAATTCAGACGTTCATAAATACACCCTTCATTTTAAAGCTGATTTTCTGTAGGATCTCTTAACATCAGAAAACTGACTTCAAAGTTGACTCATTTCAATGATTTATAAAATTTTTGACCTTCTAAAATGCTTCATAAATAGGGTAAATCTGGACCCAAGTAGAATTTCTCCCAAATATCCATTCATCAAAAGGTGAAGTGTTTTCAATATTCTAAAAGTCTAATTGAATAGCATTAATTAAACCAATCATACAATGCTGCTAGGAATTGAGGATAGCCCAGTAGATTTAAGGATTTAATCAGGGGTTTCAACCTTTGATTGGTTTGCCTGCTTTCAGTTCTGTCGACAAAGGATGTTCTTGTATGCTATTAGTTTAAAATTTAGATACTACAGATGTTAGGAACTCCATATACTGTAATGAATGCATGACATGAAATGCATATGAGCTCGTCAAGAATAAGGAATAATTAAATCATAAACAGAACAAAACCACTTTTGCAGTCATGATAGTTTAACACAGTAACTTTTATTAAAAAATGTACAATAATATATGTATTTTACAAATGGATAGAAAGATCTGCTAATATACATGAATCACAATACAAAAATATGTGTAAAATTTGTAGCTGATCAACATAGAGTCCTTATTTTTAGGACAGCAAATTATTATATTAGTACAGAAACAAAGGGATACATAGTTAAGTTATGGGTAAACAGAGATTACCTTACAGAGCACATAAATTAGTGACCTATAGCTTATTGGTCAGAGGTGGCACCATTTTCATATTTTTATATTTTTGCATAAATTTACAATATACTCTTATAAAATGTACAAGAAATCAAGGTTGTATGATTCAATACACATATTCACAGCATGATTTCCTGAGTCTAAACTAAATCCATTTACCATGCAAATAAATGTAGTATCTGAATGCTGACATAACGTTTTTGAGTTCATTGCCTTTCAAGTACCCAAACTAATGTGTGCTTCATTTGCCTGGGCTTGCTGTACTGCACATCTTTGAAATCAATAATTATTTATATTTTGTTAACAAGTTGTTTAAGGCACTCTGGAGTTCTTTGAAGGCTTTTTAATACTGGATAAATTACTTAATTCTTGAAATGAAAACTACTATCCTCTAAGATCCAGAACGATACAATGGACAGACCTTGAGTGGAAAACATTTAGTGGGTGTCAGCAAACTTGTGTCAAAGTTTCAATGGATTTTAGTTTAGACAATTTAAAATGGCCAAAACTAAACTGAATAATGTAGCAGACAATTTCATTACTAACTGATCAAAACAATCCAACTACATCTTTTCTGTACATAGTACATTTCAACTTTGTACATATAAACATCAAAAGCATTCTAACCCATCTATCACTGCAAACATGCTTCATTGGAGTTTCCTGTACATTTTGTAGTCAAACTTTCCTTTCATTGACAGTAATATCACTTTTTCTCTGTGTAAAAATCACTATTTTGACAAACCACCTCTTGCATATTTACAACATGCACAAGGCCTGAGTGAAACCTTTTAATTGAATCAAGCTTCAAATTAATGTATCCACAAGAGTCAGTTTACATAATCCAAATATCGTCTAGTTTTACTAATGCCATAAAACATCCTGCAAAACCACGTGATTCCGTTAATAGCAGTAGAGCTCATATACATCTGTGTATTCAGACTTTCATTTTCAGTTTTAAAAGATACCCAATAGTACTTCCAATACCAACGTGTACTGTCCAGTCCATTACAATTATATTTTCTTTCAACATTTTACTATTTTCTTTCAGATGAAATCAATACATTTTCACAAATCATTATTAAATTATCCCAAATTAAAATGCATTTTTGGTACAGTGAAGTTAAACTTATTTAATATATAAATTATACAAACATGGGAACATGGTTATCAGTATTTGATCTAACACTCTGCAAAGTGCAAACATTAATAATTTTTTTTGCTAAAAATGTCTATTTAATTAATCATGTCAGAGTGTTTCCTTCACTAGATTTCTTTAAATCTGCACCTTTCATTAATGCACAATACTTCTTGTTTCGAGTCTGTAGTATTAATGTGCATACACTGTTATTATCACACCTTTGGCCACTTCATTCCCCTCTCCATTTTTGAATATGGATAGCTTTCAATTTCTTGGTTTGAGGTACCAGAAACATTCAATTTCGTGATTCCAAACATTTCTGAAATGTGTTTTTGGTATCAAGGTTTCTAATGTTTCATCTGATTGGATGAGAGGTATCTTCTTTAGT